ATTCGAAAATTGTGACATCATCTGAATCATTCAGCATAACATTTGCCAACCTTTGTTATCTCTGCGATTAAGTTAATGAAGCTAAGCTCCAGAAGTTAACGTTAGCTTAACTAGAGCCCTTTGGACAACAGCTAACAATGATGTACGATCACCAAAGTACAAAACTAGAACAAAATAGGCTAATGAACTCCCAGCAAACAAGGTGACATGATCAACAACGCAGCTAGGAGCTAACGTTAGGCTAACGTTAGGTTAACTTTAGCTAACGTTAGCTAGAGATGCACTAATTTGCATGAAGTTCCAGAACAAAAATCTGAACACTGGATGAAGCCAGGTTCAAAATTCCTGTTTATTTTTGCTGACATTTGAGAGGTTTTTACAGAGTTTGGATATCCCTTTTGATCACTCCATTAATCAGAAAATACAGCATAAAAATCCATTTTTGCCATGTTTTTAGATGGGGAAAAAAGTGAAATAAATCAGGCTATGAATGATATATGAACTAACCCCTCTGTAAAAGCTTTTGGATATAGACAGGAATAAAACTGGACAGTTTGATGTGTTTAAGTGCTACTGAAGAAGAGATTTCTGGCTCAGAGTATGAGGAGAAACTCATTTTGACCTTCGAACAACCTTTAAAATATGTATTCCGTTAACGGTGTATGGGCTAAAAAATGTAACTAGTAGCCAAGATATGACCATGAAACTTCCCAAGTTGATTGCTTAAATCAAGACAATTATTTATTGTATTACAACTTTACTGATATTTGTATATGCATATGAGGCATTATCTCATGAAATGCACATTTTTGGCATACATTTCCAGAACAGATACCTGAACTAAAACTTCTGAACTTCCACCAGTCTTAAAGAAAACATGTTATGGAAGCAATATAGCCCAAATCTCAAACTTGACCAGTGTTGATATTTTCAGCTGGGGTGTCTCACCTTTATCAGGATGAAATCAGTGATAAAGATGAACAAACAAATGAGATTGACCAATAAAAACATCAGTGCCTTTCTTGACATTCAGATCAGACCACAATCAATGAATTTAATGCACAAATGCGTCAGTTTCAGACACTTAAACACCAGGTTGGGTCATGTGAGCGATTACAAACAATGTCTCCAAAGTCTTCTCTGAAGCAATGCTCATTCTTTATTAAATGTATTTAGTACTTTTTACAAAATCAAAGCACATTTAAATCATTTTTTACTGCTTTTCGAAATTCCATATCTGCCTGTAGGAATGATTTTTTTTAAATGATATCAGTAGTATGTCTGTAAGATTTAGGTTAAAGTAATGAAAAGCAAAGTAGGCTACAGAACTGCTGGATTTTTTTGTCTGTGTTTTTTTTTTTTTTTTAATAAAAAGAGTGTCGTTAATAACTGACAGCAACATTTAGCCTAGAGTAACATCTACTTCATGCATCACTTGGCAGTTTATAGTATTTTAATACTAATGCAGTATAGCTAATTGAAACAAACAAACAAAAAGATGGTTTAAGTAGGAGTCCAGCAGTATTGTACACATTCAACAGTGAGGTATCGTACACCACCCTACACACACGTATCTGCTACATATAGACCCAGCGGTCCCAGTCTATAAACAGTTTACACAACTGGTCAGTTTTTACCCGCCATTTGGCTCAAAGTCAGGTTGTTATTTAACACTGCTGTGATTATGATAAAAATAAAAATAGATATAGATAATAGAATAGATAAACAAGTCATTTTTTATCAAACAAACTCATTTGACAATCAACACAGGCAACTGAATATGAAAATAGCCAATTAGCCAATTAGCAACCTGTTACCTAAGCTAGCACGCTGTCATATGGTTTCTCTGAAATCCACCGCAAAAGCTCAGTTTTTTAACGTACTTGAGGCAAAAGTCCAGACCGAAATATTACAAAGGGGAGGAGTGGGAATGAATGGGCTTCTGGTTGCCTTGTCTCCGTACACATACATAAGTTGAAACGAGGTGTTAGTCTATTGTCAGGTTTACGTATTTCAATTAGATATAAAATATCCATCTAGTTGAGTTAAGGATTCCTGACATAAACCAAAAATACAATTTATGTAATTAAATAAAATAAAACTGAGATGATTACACTGTAAGAATCTCTGTAACTCAAAGAATTTAGCTAATTTACTTTAATAAAGTTTATATAATAATTGTAAATAAATTCTGTCTATTTCAAATATGTTGAATTTATTAAAGGTTAGGTAATTACAATCAATATATTGGAGATACATAGGATTTACTGACAGTAATTACACAAATTTTACTAAAGTAAATTAACTAAATTCTATGAGCTTTTGTTACACAAATTCTCAAAGTCTATTCATCTTAGTTTTAATAGATTTAATTACATAAATGGCACTTTTTCCATTTGTGTTAGAATTACTTGACTCATGTGGACGTAATTTATATGTAATGGACCAAATAATTATTCACAGTGTGTCTCAGACTTTCCCTTTAAACTCTGTTCTCACATGTACTTATATCTTACACAATCTCATGACCACAGATTCCTGTTATTGTTATTAGTCAGGAAAGTCAATCTAATGTTGATTTGGAGTCACTATAGCAACAAATACAGCATAAAAATGTTCATTTCAAAGCTGCTCCAGTTAAATATTTATATCAGTTATTAATAAAATGACTGTGTAATGTGAAAGGGGTTGCTAACTGAGACATACCAGTACAGAATAATCACCCGACCCAGTTCCCCTCACCTCGATGGAACATTTTAACGAGTTTCGTGCATTGTTTTCTGTTTACTTCACTGCTTTGGCTCAGTCTCACTGCACTCATTAACCTTGTTTCCAGTAGCAGTTTTTAGCAAAAAACTGCACACAGTGGTGCATTTAGCAGTTAAGGAGCCAGTAGCTGGTGGAGACCAAAACAGAGCAAAAAGAAGAGAAGGAATATTAGATTTACAATCAAGTGGCCAGAGACATGACTCAGAGTAAATGCTAACATAGCTCAATGTCAGTTCGTTGTGTAAACAAGCAACTGTGTGCTAAGACGTTCCCAGAAAACACTTAATACAGTTACAATATGTCAGTTATACGCTCTCGGATTGTTTTGTCTTCCAAGTGACCAAAACATGAATCAAGTAGAAGCAGGGTGGGTTTTTTTGGCACAACTACACCTACGTCCAAGGTGCATGGAGAAGGGAAAGGAGTTAAAGAGGTGAAAACTCCAGCAACACTTGTAGTTAACAGAATAACTTTATGCGAGAGTTTTGACCTAAAATTATTTAAAAATAAATGCAGGTTTAAAACATAAAAATCGTGGAATTTGTAAAAACACAGTTGACCATTCCTAAGTCCCGCCCCTTTTTGCTCTGTTGAGCAAGTTTGGAACCCGACAGAACCTCAGTGCATGCTCTGTGCTGGGGCGGCATGGTGATGTGGTGGTTAGCACTCTCGCCTCACAGCAAGAGAGTTGCCGGTTCGATCCAAGGCGTGGGAGCCCTTCTGTGCGGAGTTTGCATGTTCTCCCTGTGTCAGCGTGGGTTCTCTCCGGGCACTCCGGCTTCCTCCCACAGTCCAAAGACATGCAGATTGGGGACTAGGTTAATTGATAACTCTAAATTGTCTGTAGGTGTGAATGTGAGCGTGAGTGGTTGTTTGTCTCTATGTGTCAGCCCTGCGATAGTCTGGCGACCTGTCCAGGGTGTACCCTGCCTCTCGCCCGATGTCAGCTGGTATAGGCTCCAGCCCCCCCCGCGACCCTCAAGAGGATGAAGCGGTTAGAAGATGAATGAATGAATGAATGAATGCTCTGTGCTGGGCTCTGCTATGTTTAAAGGAAAACCAAATGTTCAAGATGGTTAACAGATGTGGTTGGGGACTGTCACAAACTTCATAGACACATGACATTGATTAGTTGCATCCTAAGTGGAGGTGCATGTTATTGGATTTTTTACCAATATCCGATATGCTGATACGTAACAACTCAGCTGACCAATAACCGATTATGATATATCAACTTTTTTCCCTACGCAACCGCAGTTGGTTCGGATTGAGGTCGAACACGTTCTCACCACAAACGAACCGCACCAGAGTTCAGAGTTCAAACTCAAGTTTGTTTGCCACCTACATGCGGATCATTTGGGCAGGTGAGAGCACAGCCATCACACTCAGGTGCGCACCAAAACAACGGAAAATGATCCAACCGGACCACCTCTTCAAGAAGGTCTCAGTCCGGTTGTTTTCATCTGAGTGCAATTGCTGTGTTCACACCTGCCCAAACAAACCACACTTGGGGGGCAAACGAACTTGAGTTTCGCAGATGTGAAAGCACCCTAAGATAACATGATTTGTCATCAGCAAGAAAAGATCAAGGCTCATGTTCCTTTGTTTATATCATCTCTGTAAAGGTGTGGACACGCCAAACCGACATCAAAGAACCAGCGGCGACAAAAGCCAACTGTTGCGTCGTCTACGTCGCCTCATGGTGCCTCACGTCGCCTCACGTCGCCTCACGTCGCCCTGTGTCAGTTGCATTTGAACACACTACACGGACTACATCCGACGGCTAAGTGGCACGTACGTTCTGCGCCTGCGTGAGAGAGAGCGCCGAGTGACAGAGTGGTACATCCTGTCAGCCGAGGGGTTTCCTATCTGTGCAGCCGAGCACCGCAGCACCTCCACGGACTATTACATCCAGACGGTCCCGGTGTTTCCTCCGCAGGCTCCACTTCACTCAGCTGCCCGATAAACCCGCTGCTTCTTCCCACTTTAACCTGAATAACAAACCAGGGCCCGGTGCTCTGGTTGGATCCAAACGTAGAGCTGGGGCTAGCTCAGAGACTAGCGGAGGCTAACTGGCTGTGCTTCCCTCCGGTCATGCTGCGGCTAACGCTCCGCTAGCCGCTCCCAGCTAGCTCCGGTTTGTTATTCAGGTTAAAGTGTGAAGAAGCAGCTGGTCTGTGGGGCAGCTGAGTGAAGTGGAGCCTGAGGAGGAAGCACCGGTTAGCCCCGGTTTCATTACAGGCAGATTCACTCGCTACAGGGACGAGGAAAAAAAAACCTGAACAGCCAGTCAGAGTGGTCTCTCTCACCGATGAGCTCTGCTGCCGATTCAACATGCTCAATCTGCCAAAAAGCCTCTGCTGCCGCCTAAGTGCTGACGGTGTGGGACACAGAGCAAAAACTAGGCCAACAGACGCTCACCGACGGCCCAACTTTGGTCGATGGCCGACCGTCGGCTTGGTGTGTCAGGGCCTTAACGCTACGTGCTGCCCCAAAGTAGCGTAACTTTCTGCAGCAAATAGAGACTTTAGGTCACCATGATCTATATTCAGTAATAAATAAACAGAGTGCTTTACTGATCTCCAGAAGGGGGAAAGGGGACATTGATCCGGCAGTGTCAGTGACTCAGTCTTGCCATCCTCGGTCTCTACTTCTATCTTTTTCATCGAAGACTGTGCGTCATTTTGCCTTGTTCAATATCAACACATCTTTCCACTACATACTGTAGTCCTATCTGTCTGCTTCTATATTGCCTGACGCCATGAAACACTTACACTTTGCAGCCAAACAGAACCAGCGTCGCCATGTTTCTTTTTGTCAAGCTTGTCCGATCTAGCAACAGTAACTAAGGGGGGCAGGACTTTGGAGAGGGTCATTTGTCTTTGTCAAAACTGCACAAGAACACTCCACATATTCTGTCAGATATGCTCAACTCCACAATCATATTAGAAACAACAATCAGTCAGGTTTGTGATGTAAACAATTTACAACCATCACACAGGGATTCTTCTATATTCATGACAAGTTTTCAGATGGATTTATTGCTGAATGTTGTCTGCAGCTCTTTCAGGGTCAAATACCCTTTTTTACCCGTCTCCACAGGCATGGAGGAAGACCTGCACATGGCACCAGCCATAGGCCAGGCTGTATAGCTGACACCAGCAGTTGCCACAGGTTCATCTGCTTGCTGGCTTTCACAGTATACCTGACTTAGGCCGGGAGTGTTGGGAGGAGGTGGAGCAGAGGCGGGAGGGCACACATGGGAGGGAAAATGGACAGGGAGGATGAGAAGAGGAGGGCTCTGGTGATCATTTGAAACTTCTTTCCCCTCGACATCCACAACCCTTTTGTCCTCCTTGTCCTCTTCATTTTCCTGTTCAATGCCAAGACCAGAGTCTGGGCTCTGTGGCTCCCTCTTCAAGCTCTCATACATTGGTGAGATGTCGAAGGAAGGGCAGAGGGAGAGGTGTAGGCTGTTGTGCAGGTTGTGGAAATCATCCTTATAGGTGAAGTAGACAGGGTTGGGGTCAGCTCGAGCTGAGCCGCTGGAGGAGCTGGACATGAAGTAGCCCATGTTAGAGAAGCAGGATGAGGAGGAGGAGGAATTGTCAACAACCCTGCTGGTGTTCGAGCCAGCTGAGGGGTAGCTGCTGAAGTGGAGCAGGGCGCTGGTGGAGCCAGAGGAGGGAGAGGTGGAGGGGGCCACATCCCAGCTGTCGCACACCTCAACTGGCGAGATGCGGTCATGTGGCTGGGCCGTGAAGAATGACTCAGAGGCTGACAGAGGATTCAGCCATTTCTGGGGAAACAGAAACAGAGATTTAGAAGAGAAAATATAACCTAAGAAATTTGAAGTCGTGATTGTCCTGAGCATTTGTGTGTGAATGTTTATTTCTGATTTTCTCAGAGAGGGCTCTGTGTGAGTGTTGATGTTGGGTGGTACATGTTGGTTTGAACAGAAGCAGCAGACAAACCACACAAAGATGTGTGTTTTTTTTGTGGTTTAAAACTGATTCTACTGATCTGGGCTGTGGCCGAAACGCAGTCCGTTTTCCTGGCAGTCAGCGGTGAGCGGGGGGCGACGTACCTTTACTTCTTATGAACCTGAACCAAAACTGTTAACTGAAAATATGCAAAGAGGTCATTCAACCAAAGAAGCATAGACTCTGTGTCAGCGGCAGAACATAATGGTGATTGGCCCTGGTGCAGATATATTTTCTTGGCCCCTCACCGCTTCCTGAGCACAAGCGCATGTTCGGACACACACAACTGGGGATGGGAACTAATTGGATTTTACTGGTATCATCGATTGCATTTTTTCATTTAGACAAAGGAAACTTTACTAAGCCTGCCTGTGTGGCGCTAATGTCACCATAACAGGATATAAACCAACACATTCTCACTCTGACCTCGTCACATATTGACGTTCAGTCATGGACTTTCCATGTCCACACACGACGTGTAAGATACCCTGGGTGTGTTGGTTGTTTGCCATGTCAAGTTCTGACTGCATTGTCGTCTTTCAAAATACGCTTCCGTTTTCACAGGAAATTTAACATTTACATACAGTCTCTTTCAAAATAAAAGCACTACGTCTGTACAACACTGCAAATTGACGTTTTTTGGCATTCCTGTAATTTAAGCCCATGTCACGTAGAAAGGTGTTTAAGCATATTCCTGGTGTTTCCACCCTGAGTTGAAATGATTGTTTTACAGACATACGCAGCACTGTTGACATCTTTCTTGAAATGAAATGAAGCCATGCTTTGGACTGTTTCTTTCTCTTTGCCATGACTCCTTCTTACTCCAAGTTTCCAGCAGCATAGACAGTTCGATGTCATTGTTTTGCAACTGTCAAAAAAACATCAATAAAATGAACTGATATGCTTGGAGGCATATTGTACAATACTGATGGATCAGACAGTTTGAACCAGTTCTCAACTGGAATTACCTCCTATCTCTACACAACCGCTCCAGACTGTTGTAAAGCAGACAATATTGCTGTGTCACCACTGAGAGGCTCCAAATGCAGCTCCCATCCTGCAAACCAGCCTGTCATCAGCACCAAGGACAGCAGTCAAAGCACCATATTTATTAATGCTAATCTAAAGGCCCTGACACACCAAGCTGACCGTCGTCCGCCTGTCAATGTTGGGCTGTCAGTGAGCGTCTGTCACACTAGTCTTTGCAGTGTGTCCTGCACTGTTGGCCCTTGTCGGCTTTTTTCAGCCAATTCAGCATGCTGAATCAGTGACAGTGACGACAGAGGCCATCGAGAATCAAATCACTCTGACTGGCAGTTCAGCTCTGAACACGAGAAGAGAAACAGAAGGCTGGAATTGAACCTGCAGCTGCTGAGGCAAGGACATTGCTTTCATATATGGGACACCTGCTCTACCCATTAAGCCACCAGTCGCCCCAGATTGTGCTGTTAATGTGCTAATTGGTGTCACGATGGTGTTCCAGTTTACCCCCTTTTGTTTTGTCTTTTAAGTTTTTTGTTTTGGGGGATGACAGCTCAAGAATGACAGGGAAGGGCCACAGCTTGGAATCGAACCTGGGCGGCTGCAAGGACAAACACTCTACCAGGTGAGCAAGAGGTCGCCCTCTGGTTTCCCTTTTTTCCCTGAAGATTCCAGATTTCTGCTGTCTGCTGGTGTGGAGAGTTTCAGGCACAGATCAAACATGCTGGTTGGCTGTTGGCTGTAGTCTTTGCAGTGTGTTCATGTGACACGACGCAGCATTCGGCTTTTGTCGCCACTAGTTCTTTGATTTTGGTTTGGTGTGTCTGGGCCTTAACAGCCTGCCCTGGATTAAAACCACCACAGCCTGATTTAAAAGGTGTATATATCACTATCAAAACCATAACTGTTATATGCAAGGTGGGACTGTGGTAGATATATCTGTTAAAAGTAATTTTAGTGTTATTGTAGTAGTCAGTGCATGAGAGGGCTGGCCCAGCTATAATAGCGAAGCAGCAAACATTGCCTTACTGCAGGGGCCACAGAGTACAGAGTGGTAAAAATGCTCTGTGAGAACATTTATTTTTACCTTTAGATTCCCTCCGTGGTCAGAGTGGAGAGTGTGGAAGTATTTCGAGGGGTTTGGTACTGGCTTTCCTTTGAGGAGCCTGAAACGGCAAAAAGGAGCCATTAGATTAGACATACTATCTGATAACACACACAAATGAACACACACAAATTGACATCATACTCACCCCCTGTTTGCACAACTCTTGTAAAGGACCAGTGTTATGATGATGAGACTCAAGCTGAAAATCACTCCTCGCGTTATCTGTGATGACTGACCCAGAAGCCAATCTGAAACAGAGAAAATGTATGTTCCCTCTCAGACTGACTAGGATCATTTTGGAACCCCAGAAAGCACTCTATTTCCTCGTTAACATGAGAACTGTAAACCTGTGAGCTGTTGCTGTAATGCACGGTGTTGTTACCTTCATCCTGTGATGTCACCACCACATCTGTTGCTTCCACCCAGGATGCTGTCGGACTCCAGTTGCTCCAGTGGCTTTTGTGCAGCTGTGAAATGGGTTTGACTCTCACTCTGACGTGGCAGTGCCCCTTAAATCGCCCAGCAGGTATCCTTAGCTCTTGTTCTTGTGTAGTCTGAATGTTGGCGTCCTGATAACAGATAATAATCCGGCAATATATCTAAGTCAGGGTGGATCTTAACAACCACAAACAAAATGGTCAAGGTGATTTAAATAATGAGCGGCAACAGCTCTGCTTCATTTGCATTTGTATGACGTAGGCTACGTGTGAAACCAGGCATCGATGCAACATAAATATAAGCAACATTAAGATCAAACTTCAGTGGGGAAGGGGAAGTGACAGCAAAACTAAAAGGCTATGAGGAGCTGATGTTAGCGATGCATGATATCACACTTTTAAAATGAGTAATAACAATCTGGCTATTGATTAAAAAGAAGACACAAATTTGCGCAAATGGTGACAAAAAATGGTGGTCAGATAATCACAAGGAAAATTTCTGCAAATATATTTTCACCTTAAAATCTAGTGTGGGGAATTTATCATAGTTTTAGCCATGCTAGCAGCATGCTAATCAAAGAAGAATTTATACTTCTGCATTGAATTGACGCTGAAACCATTTTCCTCGGTGGAAACAAAGCTTTATTTACTTTAATTAACAGATAAGAAACTATAAATTATTAAGACAATAAAGCCTCCACAAAAATAGCATTTTATGTCTTGGGTGTGATTTATCCTGGCTTCATATGAGCAGAGGAAATCTCCGCTTGTCACTAGGCTAGTTTATATGATGTAAAATGCCATAGGCTTGTGCTAATAGCGTTAGCATGTTGTATTTGTTTTGAAAATGTGTTTAGTATGAGGTAGCTGTTTTGTCAGTGAATTTTGTGAGTTGTAATAGAGTCTAATTTTGTAATGTTACCTTTGTTAAATGTTGCTGTTGTCCCCATTTTTATATGAGAAGAGGAAAAGTCCGCTAGCCGGTAGGCTACTTTGTAAAATGTAAAATGCCATAGGCTTGTGCTAATAACGTTAGCATGTTGTATTTGTGGGGAAAATATGTGTCCACCGCCGACTAGTGTTTTGGAGGTGTAACTGCAGAGTGACACAAACACACCACCGCACAAGTATAAATGCTCACAACAGTGTGCGTAGGCTACGTGTGTAGGGTCTGCCACACAAGTTTAAATCCCGCTGCTGGTGAACATGGTAAACATTATGCCTGCTAAGCAAAAGCATGTTAGCACTGTCACTGTGAGTGTGTTAGCATGCTGATGTTAGCATTTAGCTCACAGCACCTGTGTGCCTGACGACAGTCTCACAGAGCTGCTGGCATGGCTGTAGACTCTTAGGGCTCTATTTAAATCTAAATCTAAATCTATAGCACATGTTCATGGTGCATTTAGGGTGTCCAACAGTCCAACTTTTAAATCTCTTAATGAGGAGTCAGACAGCAGCTCTGCAGCTCTGCTCTCTGCTATGTCCACATTTTACAGAATGTAGCCTAATTAATATTTTCATTGTTAATGATGTATTATGTTACCCATCCTCCCATTCCTGTGTGTAACAAGCAGAGTGTATGAGCACTGTGAACCCACCAGTGTAGGTACATATTGCTTTCTGAATAATGCGCCCATAGCAGGAAAACTCTGCGCCACTGTGTCTTTAGATCACATTTTTATTGGTCAGTGGTGCAATTACTTCCTGCTGCCTCAAAATAGCAATGCACCAACAACGTGCCTGACCACACCACATTTTCTATACGTGGGCGCTGGCTGTGAAAATGACAACTGCGTCAGACTGAAACTTACATTAAAAGCTGTGCTTTGCTGTGCATCACTTTCCACTGGGTGTTTACAGACAGGGCTCATATAGCATTGTTATAAAAAGAAAAAGAGTGGAGTAAATATGAGTTGTATTTTTTAAAAAGCCCATTCGTGCATGCATGTGCAGCGACACTCACGTTCCATGTCTTGTTTTTCTCCGTGATCTGAACTTGGAAGTCAAAGGATGTGATGAAGTGAGAGCGAGGACTGCCTGGAGTCCACGATATCCTCGTCTCATTGGCTGTGCTGCTGACATTGGGGACGCCTGGAGGATGCATTTTGACTGTATGCACACACAGACACACACAGACACACACAGACATATGCAGAAAGTGTGCACTGAATCCTGATGTTTAAATAGCCTGACAAACTATTTCTGGGTGACGCTTTTTTGAAAACCAGCAATTTAAAATTTAACGGAAGCTACACTATTTATTTATTTTTGCTGTGTTTCCGATGACCTCCTAAACATGTTAACCTCATGCATGTTTTTGAGGAAGTAAAAGCCACTCACTGTGTTTGTATGGAGAATAATTTGTGAGGTTCTCCACCAACGTGCCATTACACTCCATGCTGATGTACGGCATGTCTTTGAAAGAGTTGAATTCCTACAGGGACCCATAATATCATCAATTAAACAGTTCTCAACAAGCGTTTAGCTTTGGAGCAAGACTGTATGAATTTATTCTGTATTTCATGACATCATTTTTTACATGATGGCTGATCTAGAAATTCAAAAGTCAATGATCAGTGATAAAATGTGACATGTGCATGTTCTAATGAATGATATGTACGTGACTTACTTCATTTTCAAAGACAAAACTGCAGCCTGGGGGAGATTTTCTGTGTCGTTTCATCCTGCAGCTTCGACTAAGTAAAGTAAAAAAAAAAAAAAAAAGGACAAAAATCACCATTAACTGCTGCAGATTTGACCACCAGACAGAGCTCAAAATATGGAAACAAACGGTTTATCTCTAACATCTTACATAATTGTTCCGGGATATCTCATGTAGTTCTTTAAGATCCAGGTTGTCTTCACACCGATGATCCAGCAGTCCACACCAGGAGCCAGGGGAGCGCCGTCCCACGTACAGCTGACATTGTTGACAAAGTCGTTCACACAGGAGAGTCCTTGAGTCACAGAGACATAACAAGAAGAGGGAGATTAGGATGGTGTCTCTTTATCAGTGTCACCGGACTTGTAGGGGCATTCAGATAAAGCTGTGATACCTACTTGAGTTGCAGTTGCAAGGTTACAGAATAATCAGTGAAATTCCCCTGAGGGAGTTTTTAGCTTTAAAATGTTTTACTCAATATACTGTAATGCAGGAAAGAGACTTTGCTGTTTCACTTTGCTTCAAAAATTACAAATTCAGCAGGAAGACGAAATAAAAAAGCTCAGTTAAAGAGTTATTATTTTCTATCCCCTGTGCCTAAAGGACAGTAACACAGAGGCTGTTACAGTTACAGCCGTACTCAGTTATACCTTGCGAGCCTTTGTGAGAGTGGGCTGCATGCACTGAGAACAGACCCACCAGGACGTATAAGGACACCAGGATCTCCGTGGCCATGATCGCAGTATGACTGTGAACAGAGAGGGTCAGCACATACCGTAAATTAAAATGAGATTCTGAGTCATCGGTTTTTTTTTGTGTCTCAATGACTAATGGGAACAACAATTTTTGAAACTGGTCTAGAACGAAGTGAGAGCGCTGCAGATGGCAGCAGCAAAACAAGTTGCGATATAACCATTCAGGGCATGTTCGCACAGACAGTTTACATCCACTAAAAGTGTTTGTTTTTGCCACTGACAGGCTCAGATTATCATTATAAGTGTGTGACAACATTGTGGAAAAGATCCCGACAGAGATAGACCTTTTAAATGTTAAAATGTAAGATCCTTTTTGTTTAACCAGAAACAGGCCTGAAATTGCTTTCGTCAAACCCACCAGACTCCATTTAGATAAACAGTAACTTTATCTTTAAAACATTCTTCATTCAAAGTCGACAAACACAAAACAAAACTAACAAAAGCTGTCTGGATTACTCTTGCCACTGTTCCAACAACCAGCAACTCTAGTTCGGTTCAAATAAACCCTTAACTCACCCACTTAGATGTTAAGATATGTTGGCTCTATGCATGCTGAAATTACTGTTTATTCACATGGAATCTGGTCCACAAATGAGACAGGAATCAGCTGCTGGCCACCCCACTGTCTATTGTGTTGTGGTCAGTGAGTCAATGGATAGTTTATTTCATTGAGCTGACAGTTCCTTGGGAAGACGAAGTGGAAGAAGCCTATGAAAGAAAAAAGCTTAGGTGTGCAGACTTAGGAGCAGAAGCTGAGCAGCTAGGATGGAAAACTAGGATTTGTCCAGTGGAAGTGGGGTGTAGGGGATTCATAGCAAGATCAGCTGTCTCGCTCCTGGGGGAACTCGGAGTGCGGGGACAGAGTTTGAGGAAGACAGTGAGGGAAATGTCAGATGAAGCAGCCAGAGCTAGTCAGTGGATTTGGATGAGAAAGAGTAATGTCAGTTGGGGGAGAGGCGGGGTTCACCCTGGACAGGTCTATCAGACTATCACAGGGCTGACACATAGAGACAGACAACCATTCACACTCACATTCACACCTACAGACAATTTAGAGTCACCAGTTTTTCTGTCCATGGAATTCTTTATGGGTCCATGTCATTGGTCCGACAGCCCATTGGTCCGACATCCCATTAATCAGACAGTCCGCGGTGCTGAACGGCTCCCGGCGGGTGTATTTCTACCTTGATGGTGCGCCGCGACCGGCTCTGGGTCAGCTGGGAAAGGCTTGAGGCGAAGCAGGCTCACAGCTTATGTGTTTGCCACTTTCTTTTTCATTTTAAGTGGTTTTTGTGCCTAAACCTAACCAGACCTTAACCACAGGGCATCATGATGATTTCGGAACGGACTTCGGAACAATGGGTTTAATATGGTCGGAACAATGGGCTGTTGGACCAATGGGCAGTTCCCATTCTTTACCTAAAGAACTCAAACTGGATCCTGATTTTGATAACTTTAAACTCAAACTGAAACGGTTTTTGAAGAGGAATCAGTTATGCAGTCATGATAATTTAAGTTTGTTCTGTCTATATGTTTTATTGTTGTTTATACTTTGCGCTGTTACTTGTGTTTCTGTTGCTGAGTCTTTTGTATCTTAAGACCCAGTGAGGGACGGGCATTGCAGATCAGCTTAGGCTATAAATGCTGTGGTGTGTAGCATTTATGTGTGCTACATACTTGTCCCTATGGAAATAAACATGGAGAAAACCCACACTGACACGAAGAGAACATGCAAAGTCTGCACAGAAGGGCTCCCCCACCCTGGGGTTCGAACCAGCATCCCTTTTGCTGTGAGGCAATAATGCTAAAAACAAAAGTTTGTCTCTGTAGGGATCCTTTCCATAATGTTGTCAGACACTTAAATAACAATCTGAGCCTGTCAGTGGCAAAAACAAACACTTTTAGTAGATGTAAATTAACAAGTGGTTTCACCGCTGCCAACTGCGGCTGGACCAGTTTTCAAAAACGTTTTTTAGTTTGTAACTTAGACACAACAACATGGGAAATAGAGCCCAGGTTGGAAAACACGGAACTTACCCTTTAAAAAACAAAAAGGGGTGCATACATGTTTAACCCAACCGCAGCACTTGCAGTATATCTAAGTGGTGGTTATCATGACCACATTGTACCTGGGGTGGATCAAGAAGAAGTTTCTACCTCTACATGATTTTTTTTTTCTTTAATGCATAGAAACTAATTTCTGAAACTGCATCAGCCAATCATCAGCCGCGTGCTGTGTGGTTCTGAGAGTGAGAAAACAACACCAGATCCATACTGAGCTTCATACTCATCCTGAGAAGGTGGCAACTCGCACTTATAAGTGAAACTTGACCGAGATCACTGGCACCTGTGCTACTGCACGACATATAAAAAATTAAGAGTGTGTGACAGTAAGTGCTCCATACTGGTCATGCTGATCATTAATAAGTATCACACTTTGTTTTGTGACTTCATGTTTCACATTCAGGCATTTCTGCTGATAAAACAATGAAAAATAGAATAAACTGTCTTTTGTATATATATTATTGTACAGATTGACTTTATATGACCTTAAGATGAGCAATATTTTCTTACTGTCACAGACTGTCACAGACATTGTCACCAGTCTGAGTCATCGACCATTTTTTTTTTCCATCAAAGCCTGAACTGAGCAGGACTATGAGTAACTTTATGGAAAGTGCAGATGTGTCACCGTAATTTATGTTATTACATAACGTACAGAAGAAACAAAACCAATTGTTCCGAGCTATGACAGCAGATAAAGAAACTTACACATCATCTAAATAGAAATTAAATAGCAACAGCCAGAAAAGACACTGTAAAAATAAGTGGTAGAATAAATAGACACATTATTCTTGTATTATTTTTACCAGCAGTTGTAAAATTAAAAAGTACCTGAAGAGCCGTGGTCAGTAAAGGTAGCAGAGGGTTCCTGAGGGGAAACACATTGTCGCCTCCTCTGCTGCACTGACGACTAAAGAAGATTTCCTTTCTTTCTATCTCTCTACTCGCTCATCACTGTCTCACCCTCTTGTGCAATCTTCCTCTGTCTCTCTTTTTCTGTCAATCATCCCTCTGTCTCCTCATTCTCGCCCCTCTCTCTTCTTTAAAGTGCCCAGTGACATTTTCCACTTGTAACCACAGCCTGTGACCGGGGCTTACAGGAAGCCTTATGAAGCCGTGTGTGATGATGTGAGAGGACGGGTGGTGGCGGGGGTGGGGGGTGGGGGGGTGGGGGGGGTGTAGAGCAGAGCACCTCCTCCTGCTCACCAGCAGCAGCAGCTCTACCTGGATGCCGTTAAGATAATAATTGCACTGAAAACAAGAAATACAAAGCACACCACATCCTGTTTCAATCACAACGTAAAGTGGGTTATATAAAGGGAAACTTGCACATTTGTCCTATGAAGTGGTTTAAGTCAATGAAACTCTAGTTTAAAACTGAAGATTCGGAGGATTAAAGTGGCTCAAGCTACCAGATTTAGAACCATGGGGTTACTTTAGATGCACAACACACAAGTTGTACAGCATCAAAACCGCTGCTGTTACAGCCACAACCACTGCAGACACATAGACATACTACTCTGGAGGGGAAGAGCAGAGGAAAGGAGGTTGAGAGTTAAAGCAGCAGCCTGCTCCTCACTCAAAGGTCACCTAACGTTTCAGTTCTGCAGCCACAAGAGATTTCTGATTGTTAGTCTATCTTTCTATCTATCTATCTATCTATCTATCTATCTATCTATCTATCTATCTATCTATTACATTTTTTAAATATTTTATTTGACCCATTTTTTTTTACCAGATTCGCTGCAAAAAAAAGATTGAATAGTTTCATCTACGTAGGTAAAACTGGAGTAGGCAGAAATCTGAATGAGGAAAAAAAATGGCAGAATTTATTTATTGTTTTTCCCATACATTGATTCATTTAATTTTATATCATTGTACTGTTGCACGCAGCGCGTTGGGTTGCTGTCCCTTCATCTTCCTTCCTTCCTCCTTGGATTGTCACTACAGTAGGCAGCAACTCAGGGAAATAGACCTTCGGTCGGTGGCTGTAATGGCTTGTATTTAGCCAGTGCTGATGGTCAGTGACAGCAGCCAGTGTAACCTGTGTAACAGCAGCAACAGAAAGTTTGCTAATCCAGCAGGGAATCGAGTTTGGATTCGAGTTGCTGTTACCATGGACTAGAGGTCTGACTGTAGCTGCTGACCTCTCTCCTCCTGGCTAGGTGGTCTGTAGCAGCAGGAAGTGTGGTGGAGGACACACAGTGATTCGAGGCGCTTCTCTAACATACATAAACGTGAACTTGAAGCTGCAGCTGTGAGCCTTTGGCTTCGGTTTGCAGAAGGCTAAACTGTTAGCGACACTTCCTCTCCATCTCTGAAACACTTATTTCTTATTATTTCCGATATTTACACCTGTTTTGTTTGGTTTATTGTCAGACTCTGTTTTTAATTAGACCATCTTCCTTTTTTGGATTGCTTTGATGTGCCAGTGCTGGAATAGTAACTTTCTCTGCAGCACTGTGCGCCATTGAATCCAGCTTTCACACATCTACATTTGTAGTAACAGCCAATAAGAACACCTTCTCTCTGAAATGGCCTGTGATTAGCCAAACGCTCCTGTTACAGCCAAGATTTTTTGAAGCCTGAAAACAGAGCCAAGGGGAGGTGCAGGAGTCTAGTTTTCACTCAGTCTTCTTGAATTACAATGTCACTTAAGGGATTTATTTGGGGACTTTTGCCCAGTGATGCCGAATGAAACTGCCTACCTCAGTTTTAACCTTATGTAAGCTCCTATTGCTTATTCAGTGGTAATAACTTCAAATATAAAGAAGGCTCTGGAAGTAGAATGCCCCATTTGTTATGTGTGTGATTTAGGCAATGTAAGAATTATTGTTTTATCATCATATTGAGTTTGAAATTAGGGTTTAGTTGAGAAATTAGGGTTATGCTCGTCGTATTGTCGCTCTCAGTGTCTAAAACACAACTTTCAGACAACAATTTGTAGGATACTGCTGCATTATCGGGACATCTGAGTGGTTATCTACTTTTCTTAAATAGATAAGATATCGATATCCCTAAGTCAAACAAAGTTCATCCCCTTTCTCATCCCAATAATTTCCGTAAAGTCCCTAATGCCAGGGCTTCCATGATGCAACGATATCTGATATAAGACTCATGCGTGCTGCTATCTGTACAAATTGATGTCTATCAAACTATAAGATAGAGTCATTGCAGATAGAGCGGGGAGACAAAGGGATGGAGAAGCAGACAATCATCTGTAAGTGTCTCTTTTCACCCAATTACATTCAACCCTTTGTAGTCAAATGCCAAAATCCGTGTGCAGACAGCAAAGCAGAGCATGCAGAATAGGTAAGATCAATCTTGTGTTATCTACAAGTGTTAATTTCAGTTGAAGTTCAATGAAGGGCCATTGTGAAACACACATCCACGCTGTACACAGACCTACAAACCACAAAGCATTCACCCATACAACTGTTGCAACACAACATGTTTGAACTCAGCTGTCAGCAGCCGCCTGGTTTGGGTGCCTGAGTGTGCTTCAGGTCTGCAGTAGGCCAAAGAGTGATCAGATGCACCACCCACCCATACCCCTCCAACTAGTGCCTGCACCAATTTAGGTGTCAGCATCAGCTAGCAGAGGTAACAGGAGAGACAACGGCGAGGGGGGTTTGAAGCCGCAAAGGAAGAAGAGCTCACATCTCTCACTGAAAGGTCAGAGTCCGCTGTGTCTGAGGCTGGAAGCTGCCGAGAAGGCCATAGTGATGTTTGTGCTCAGACGGCAACAACAAAACAGTCTCCAACAACCACAAAGGCGAGGGGGGGGGTGACTGGAGAGAAGGTGAGAACAATAACAAGGGAGGGCACAGTGAAGATGAAAAACCTGTCACTAAAAACAAACAAGAAAAAGATGATGCAATGAGTAATGTTTACCAACGTATCGCAGTTAATACAGAGCTATTTTGCACTGTTTATTGACTCATATAGGCGGAGACGTCAACAACTAAAGTAAGAACAATTCCTATAAGTAGGCGATAGGCCAGAGTTGACTAAGATCAATATCCTGTAAGTGTACAGCCATGCTAACGGCTCTGTGAGGTGGTAAAGTTGTGGTTGTACAGTGGTGCTCCGAGCTAAACGCCAGAGGTGGGACCAAGTCTTTGTTTTGTAAGTCACAAGTAAATCTTCGCACTCAAATCCAAATTTCTTAACTTTGGATTTTGAGTTCTAAACATAACATTTTAACCCTTTGAATTCTGCAATATGGTCATTGGTATTTTTGTCTATTGTGATGTCATGTCTTGGAGTATCTTCAAATCCCTCATATCCCTAACTATCTGTACAACCTAAGATAAAGGGTTATGTAAGCCAATAAACCATAAGAATTGATAAAAGTATTAAAATTGTGTCATTAAAAAACAGAAATCGAACATGGTTTTACATCAGGAGAATGACTGTTCAAGCTATAATGGTTTTTATTTAGAATCGATTTAATCAGGATCATGCAAACAACGATCTCCTGTGGCTGTTACGGTAAAATACCAGTGTAATTACAGTGAAATACCTCATTTGCCTAAGGTGACGTGATAACGGGAAGACCGAAGACTTAGTTTTCTGCTGCAAAAAGAATGAATGCTCTAGCTATTGTTTGAATATATTTGTTCATTCATTCATTCATCTTCTAACCGCTTCATCCTCTTGAGGGTCACGGGGGGGCTGGAGCCTATCCCAGCTGACATCGGGCGAGAGGCAGGGTACACCCTGGACAGGTCGCCAGACTATCACAGGGCTGACACATAGAGACAAACAACCATTCATGCTCACATTCACACCTACGGACAATTTAGAGTTATCAATTAACCTTGTCCCCAATCTGCATGTCTTTGGACTGTGGGAGGAAGCCGGAGTGCCCGGAGAGAACCCACGCTGACACGGGGAGAACATGCAAACTCCACACAGAAGGGCTCCCACGCCCGGGATCGAACCGGCAACCCTCTTGCTGTGAGGCGAGAGTGCTAACCACCACACCACCGTGCCACCCATTGAATATATTTGTTATACAAAACAATTTTTTTTAAGTTACTTCCATCATTCCTCATGTGTCAGCTGTTTCCCTGCCTCCCCTTTGTTTCTTGTGGTTCCTTGTTTGTCTCTTTCTATGGGTGTTTCTCAAAGTCAAGGAAGGATCCTCAAACGGCCGAATTTCAAGGAGGCTACGTCATCAGATCCTGCTGAGGGACCGTTCAGATGTTAAGGATCCTCCCAAATTTCCTCGAGGACTGAGTCCTTCTTTTAACGGAAATTCCAAGGACGCATGTGTGTATACTAAGCGGGTATAAAATCCCCACAATGCTTTGCATAGCTTTTGTATGCAAGTGAAATTACCTTGGGTATAATTTTTCCAACTGGCGCTCAGAAACATTAGTTTTGCATGGTTCTCTCCTTCAGTTTGATTGGATGCTTTCAGATTGGTTCACAGTAAGTGGATCATCTGTGGAATAAAGTGTCGACTTGCTGGGAATGAATAGCGTTAATGTTAGCAGATTTGTGTAACATTTTTCAAATGACATACTTTTAATCTTTGGGCCTTGGGGGAAGGTATCAAATATTTTCAAGTCTAAAGGCTCGAGTCCAAGTGAAGACACGAGTCATTGGTGGTAATGTCTAAGTCGAATTGCAAGTCCATCCATCCATCCATCCATCCATCCATCCATCCATCCATCCGGCGTTCTGCGCATGCGCCACTTTTTCTTTCGCAGGCTTTCACCCGGAAGAAGAAAGAGATGGCGTAGCAGCAGTGCAATAACTCCCAGAAAAACAAACAAACAAACACCATGGCAACCGAGAAGTAGAAGACGCACTTCTGGATGGACAAGGAAACTAAATTCATGCTCCAACAGCTAAAGGAGCTAAACATTTTGAAGTTTATGGATGGCAGGAAAATGAGGATTTATTTAAACTACTTCAATATGCACTATATTAAAAAGGACACAGTGCCGCCCATCGAGGTGGAGTCAGACACACTTGACTGATTAAAATTAAAAGTCCTATGTTCAAAAGTTACTATAGTCTAAGTAAGTAAGTATAATCAGGAACATGTACTTGAAGTTTTGAAAATAAAAGTACCAATCCAGAAAAATCTAAATGATCAAAAATAGTTTCCAATTTATTTTCTGTCAATCAGCTAATTGATTTATCAGTTAATTGTTTTAGCTGTACTTCTCGTATGAACTGTTGGGTGGTTTCATTTATAACAAAACCTCATGTTTTATAAATTTTCTCATGCTTTTTGTGTGAAACTCTTAATTTGAAATGTAACTAGTAACTAAAGCTGTCAGATAAATGTAGTAAAATAAAAAGGCTATAATATTTCCCCCTGGAATGAAGTGGAGCAAAAGTATGAAATGGCAAGAAAAGAACAGTACAAGTACCTTAAGTACAGTACTTGAGTAAATGTACTTTACTGATTACTGATAGTTTGTGTTCAACACTCTGAATTCTCCTGAGCACATGATAGGTGCAAACTGTCATGCCCAAATTTGCTTTACTAAACTGAGGCTAACAGAGACCTGTAGAAACCACAGCATGTACCTCACTGCACAGAGCTTCATGTGAGTGACACGACTTCAAACAGTGAGTCACTGCTATCCAGATCACTGCCGACTGATTTCATCAGTTTATTGTGCGTTTTTGACTCACTGTATGCAACTTCAAACAGTTCACTTAACCTGCTTTCACTGTGGAGTACAGACCGGATCAGATTAGAGATACTTATCATTTAGGTAGTAGAGGCAGCAGGTTGTGACAAAAAGGCAGTTTCAGTGGTTTTTGTTGAAACCACCTCCATTCTGCTGCGTTTACACATCACACGGAGAGACAAGTAACCCTTTAGCTACTGCTAGCGTTCAGCGGTTTATGACTTGTATGTGTTATGCAGAGGGGGAAGGAGTATTTATATCTTTTACAGATGTAAGGTAGCAACACTACAGTGGAGAAATGAGTAAAAGTACTGCATTCAAACTCTACTTAAGTTAAAGTAAAAAACTATTAACATTAAAATATACCTAAAGAACCAACAGTAAAAGTTCTCACTGCAGATTGGCCAGTTTGAAAATCATATATATCACTGGCTTACAATTAATTATTAACATTACTATTAATGTTGCAGCTGGTAAAGGTTAATTACTTTATACTTTATGTAGATTAACCCAGTGGTTCCAAACTGGTCCAACTGCAGGGTCCAGATTTGTCAGTAGTCATTGGATCGAGGTCCACACAGTTAAGTACACTCTGTGTCATAATTGCGTTTGGCCATGTCGTTCAGCTAGTTTGCTGTCTCTACCAGGTAGCTGTCCATGAGCCATTCCCTTTACAGCAGGAAACGGCCCTTCAAAATAAAAACTCTGTGTTGGAAATTCCCTGCACTTTAAAATAAAGTGTGTTTTTTACAAACTTGACATATTTGCAAGTCACTTGCGGCCCTTTAAAAAAGGACCTGCTACACCATAGCCTGACGTGTACCTCCCCAGAAATGTAACTACATATCACAGCGACGCAGACCTCCTGTTTCTGTATTTCCCTCAGTGGAAACAAAGCTTTTATTTACTTTTTTAAAAACAGGAACCTCTTTGAGACAGTTAAATGTGTTAATTTTCCTTCACACATATTTTTAAAAATCCACATGCACAATATTGTTGCTGTTGCACAGTAGCACCCAAATAATAACAGTTTGGCTGAACCTAAACCAAAGGGATATCACAGATATCGTTTGTCTCACCAAGTATCTTTTTAGTGGTATTTCATCTTTAACATAACCCTTAAGCAACAAGCTCACAACATGCACGGTTGCAAATCACATTTTATTTTCGTTTCAAAACTAAGCCAAGGTGTGAATCACAAGTGTGCTGAGTGCTGTTGTGGTCTCAGGGTGGGAGGCCGGACATCATTTTGCAGTGCTCTTTCCTCTCGCTTCTATCAGTATCTTGTCGAGTTCCTGGTTCATGATGTTTCTCTCTGTCCACTGGACTGCAGATGAATTATAGAAACACATGTTAGGAACAAAGAAATATATATTAAAATAAAAAACACACGTTAGACCAAATAGAGCAGAACAATGAAAGAGAAATAGAGAGACGGAGGGACAAGAAAGAGCGTTTACCCATGTCGTCTGTCTTGTGGCCGTACCAGTGATCAGGAGGCCATGCAGTCAGAGGGTGGTGGATGTACGAGTCTCTGGAGACAGACTTCCACGTTAAAGGAGCTCCTGGAGGCAGAGGGTTCAGTGGGTTGAATTGGAAAAAGATGGAAAAAGGAGGAAAATGTGTAAAAGAATTGAATTTTTTTCAAACTTGAGAAGATGAAATTCACTCTTAGGGGCTCTGAAGACCGTTTCTACAAGAGATGGAAATGCTTGATAGTTTATTTTAATAGCCTTTGAACACTCCCTCCTGAACAGCAAATAAATATCATGTAATTGTAGATTATTGCTATTCACTCCTACACACTGTTACTCAAAAGACCTTCGCCTCTTTTTTCCTTTCATTCATTTGATTTACTTATCCTCGTTTTTTCTATTGTACTTTATTTTTGAAAGAGCTTAAAGGGACATTTGACCCCAAAATCAAAAATACATATTTCTCCTCTAACCTGTAGTGCTTTATCAATCTAGACTGTTTTGGTGTGAATTGGCAAAAAAATTACATTTAAAAAACTCAACAGCAAAGTCTCTCTCTTTAGAAATCATGACTGGGTTACTCAAAATAACACGGACCACTTTGTGAGCAATTTCATGTAGGAACTATTTATTTCTACCAAACTACACCCACACACTGTATCAGCGTGCAGAGGTAAGCATGCGTCTACTGCTAGCTCTCCTAGCACCACTATTTATACCTCTATGTCGTATCAACGCTGACCTATGTTGTAGCATTACGTGTACCTCTCCAGTAATGTAACTACACGTTGCAGCAGCACAGACCTTCTGTCTGTTTCTGTAAGCTGAAACCATTTCCCTCAGTGGAAACGAAGCTTTTATTTACTTTAATTTCAGAGATAAGAAACAATAAATTGTGAAGACAATAAAGCCTCCACAAAAATACCATTTTAAGTCTTGTGTGTGATTTATCCTGGCTTCATATGAGCAGAGGAAATCTCTGCTAGTCGCAAGGCTAATTTATACAATGTAAAATGCCATAGGCTTGTGCTAATAACGTTAGCATGTTGTATTTGTTTGGAAAATGTGTTTAGTATAAGACAGTTGTTTTGTCAGTGAACCTTGTGAGTTGTAATGGAGCCAAATTATGTACCGTTACTTTTGTTAGATGTTGCTGTTGATCCTGGTTTCATATGAGTAGAGGAAAAGTCTGCTAGCCACTAGGCTAATTTATACAATGTAAAATGCCATAGGCTTGTGCTAATAACGTTAGCACGTTGTATTTGTGGGGAAAATGTGTCCAGATAAAGACAAGTGTTTGTCTGTGAATAATGCGAGTTATAGTGAATCTGATTTGTGTACTTGTGTTTGAAACTGTCTCTATTAAGCCATGTTTAATGTGTGTTTAATGTGTGTTTTGAATCAACTAAACTTTACAGCACTCCACAGAAACCCTGCTGCTAACTATTGTTTTGGAAGTGTGTTTACATGCTTGCCCGTTGCCCATGAATAGATGCAAACCTTCCCTTGCACTGTGAAGAAAAAGATAGGGTGAGGCCAGATGTACGTGGCGGGAGACGTTTTAGGAACACAGCAGGCTCACAGCTGCTTTTTATCTGGTGCCAGTGTTCCTGTAATATAATTAAAACTCAACAAGTTTGTGAGACAAGTGATGTTTTTTTCGTAATCTACTTGACAGATTCAAATCCATCATCAGTTCAAGTCTTATGACTGGTTCGCTCGCTCCATGTGAAAGCATCTTTCATCAGACGAACGTAACCCTTTACGTGCTTGTCCCTGTATAGTTACTGCTTTCATTCACAACACAGCAGTTTCATTTTCCCTGAAATGTTACTAGGTCTTGAAGTGAGAAATTGGAGGTACAGATTTCCTTGAATACTTATACCTGCTCCCTTTCATACATGACTCCATGCAGGAAATGTTCCTGAACATTTCAGGGTGAAAGAAGCATATGTTTTTGTGTCACACTGCACTGAATAATTCAGCAGGACAAGATAGGTTGTGTTACGACTACTCCACTACTTCCCTTGATTTACTATCAGTGTCGTCCACGTGGCCCCTGCCTGTAAAATATTGTTAATATAATGTTAACCTCCCAACATATTGACAGCAGTGTGTTGATTAATAGAAGCTGTACTCTGGACAGCTGAAGACAGAGTGTGCACCCACTCAAACTTAGTCATTTGTATACTGAAGGAGGCCTTATAAGAAAATTAAAACAAACTTAGGATGTACAGACCTGGAAATATGTTGGTGCGAAGACAGTGGCCCAAACTGTGATAGCTGTGAGGGCTCGAAACAACTGATCCAGGATCACCATAGTGAGGAAGCGATAGGGATGGCACCTGAGGGCTTTGTACTGTCCTCACCTACAACACAGCGTGTTCAGAGGAAATCATATCTAACAGCAACACGTTGTTAACATGCAACAGAGAGGGGGAGAAGAAGAGAAGAAAAAACACCATGTTCTCACCTGTGTGTTTGCTGGTTTTGCGTCTTTTCTGTCAATTGAGGTCATACCGAGACGATAAACCGCATGAGAGGTGGGTTGAAACTAAAGGTGTTAAATTTCTTAAGAATGTCATGCAAGACACCCGAGAACAATACACCAGGTTTCACCTCTGGACAGGAAAAAAAAAAAAAAAGACAAAAACTGTGACATTTTAAGAGAAATGATCAGCGAACATCTCGGTGTGCAAAAAAAAAGTTAGGTGTAATTATTTTCTTTGCACAATTATGATGTTATTTGCTATTCAGAGCTGTATAGTTAATGGTGAGGTTGCCAGTTGGATAAATTTCTTTTGGATTAAAAATATTATTGCAAGGAAGAAGGATATGTACCGGCCCAAACTATGTTAGGACAAGATATGTGTGGATACATTAAACTCTAGTAGAGTGTAAGTAGACAGAATTGATTAATTGTTGAGCTCAGTTTTCTACGGATGCCAAATGACCCTAGTTTCCATCAGATGAATCTGCTAAATCTCTTTAAACAGAGACCAGTTTGTACAGTTTGAAACTGGTCACACATTCAGCAAAAATCCGAAACCACCTTCTAAGGCAAACTAACTTATGCCTTACACCCCTTCTGGGGTATAGGCCGTCGACAAGGGACCTGCAGAGTACCCGATCGCTGGCTTTCTTTTCTATCTGTGACCAGGTGTATCCCATCTTCTTGCCTGCAGATCCCTTCACCAGGTGTTTCTTGGCCAACCTCTCTTTCTCTTCCCCTGAGGATTCCACGTCAGAGCCTGTCCAGTGATGTATGACATCACCATCTAAGGCAAACCGGCACAAGATGATCATGGAGTGTTTCCCTCTCGAATATCTGACCCGTTTGCTTCACTCCACAAAGGGACGACTCATGAAAATATAGACCCCATACCTCTGTTTCTAAAACTATACTGTGGCTTAAATACTGTGCTCGACTAACTATAGTTAAATCAGGAGAGACTCATTTTTATAGTAAAAAGAATATTTATGAACATGTGCACATTAGAATGAAAAACGTGGAAAGACTTTGCCAATTAGACCCCATCGAGACGGTCTGATATAAGGAGGGTGATGAATCCATAGTCGAATAGCGAAGCCCCAATGTCTTCAAACAAGTACTTCCGAATTGGATATAATGACTAAGTGAGTAAAGGCCAACAATGGAACAGCTGGAACAGTCTGGTAAGTTCAGAAAACTGCATCATTTTATTGTAATACAGACTTTAAAAACCGGGAAAAGACGAGACTTGCAATATCCGAAATCTTAGGGGGCGATCACACCGAGATGAAACGCTAGAAACGCAACGCCAGTAAAACCATTGTTTTCCTATGATACGGCGCGTCTGACCGGCATTCAAGCGTCTTTTTAGATGGGCTTTTTTCTGGCTTCTTCTTAGACGCGCATTTTTGTAGACGCTCGTTTTTAGACGTACATTTTTAGATGTGCGTAGATGCTGAAAAGTTAAAATATTTTCAACTTTTTGAGCGTCAGATGCCAGTAGCTAGCACGCATTGAATAAGCGCTTCCAGTGTTTCAAGTGTCTTTGAAGCTTCTGCGTTTCTAGCGTCTCATTTCTGTGTGATCACCCCCTTAGACGATGTTTAGTCTCTATTTGATCACGTCACTGTTTTAATCTCTTTGTGAAGCACTTTGGTCAACGTTTGTCATTTTTAAGCATGCTTTATAAATGAACCTGACTTTACTTAAGCCACATTTGTACTCAAACTCTTCTTGGATGCTGGTTATTTTAAACTATATACTTTAACCAGATGAAGGATTTTAAGTCATCAGACCTCTGCAGATTTAAGTTACCAGAGAAACAAGCTGAGCAGACGTTAGTGGCAGCTGGGCTCCAACCCCTGCCTTGTCAAATAGTGTTGGAGAAACAATGATGTTAAACATACACTGATCAAAAAATACTTGATGGTCACAGTCTAACACCAAGTCAGTTAAACATCAGGGATATCAATGTGTCCGTGTAGGAAGCACAAGTGATTGTGAATCAGTTTCAGCTGCTTTGGTGCAAATCAAAGTGACAACAGGTGCAAAGGAGAGGCAAGAGCAAGACAACCCCCCAAAAAGGGATAGTTGCTTCCTCCTTATCCTTCCTGATTCTTCTCTAGTTTGGTCTTCTGCTGGTGTCCTTGTCACTACTGGTAGCATGAGGCCGTCCCTGAAGCCCAATCAGGTTGCACATTGGTTCCTCCTGGTGCAGGACAACGCTCGGATTTTTGGTGTGATTTTGAATCTAGCCCTCAGTGGGTTGATGATTTTGGTTTCCATTCATTGTAGTTACGTAATTTTGTTCACAACAAATTATACAATGCACATTGAGAAAGATTTTCAACTTGTTCGTTCATTAATATCTGATGTGTGACTTAAGAGTTCCCTACATTTTTTTGAGCAATGTAAATCTGCCTTATCCAGGTTTTTTTTCTCATTTGAACCACTAGGTTGTTTGTTATGGACGAGGAGGAGACCTCTGTGGATAATTTGGTTCCCGGTAAAAACCTCTTGAATGTCTGGATCTTAAGTAACAAAGAAAAAAGGTGAGCGCACGTTAGCAGGAGCTGGACCAGAACAACGTCTGAGACACACTGATTTTTATTGCAAAACTGCTTTATTTAATGTTTTTACCGGTTTTATTAAATTAATTATTTGTTTGGGAGAGAGTGAGACCTCTGTGGATCATTTTGCTGCTGTTAAACTGAAAATGTTTAATGTACAAAGAAAACAAAATCTCATCGTTGTCATAAATGCTGTTTATTACTGCAATATTTCGAGGAATAACACTGGAAAAAAAAAAAATCTTTCTTCAATCTGTCCAATGATTGTAAGCAGTCATTGGGTCTGTCAGGCTGGAGAAACTTAAACGGTAATGTGAACGAAAATATTTAAGACCTTTTAAGGCCTTATATTAAGGAATTTAAGACTTTTTTTAAGGACCCGTCGACACCCTGTGAACCCAATTTAATTTTTTCGAGACCACTTCAAACTTGAAATTTGTCTCTTTCGCTCTCCTGAAATTCAAACACTCGACTTTTCCTGTAAAAACTCCAGTTCTAAAGAAATTCACAGGCGTTCTTTTATTCAACTTTATTTCACAATTTTATGCCATTTATTGTGTTCTTTGTCATAATACCACACACAAATGTCAACTGGCTAAAACAATATAAAACATAACTTCCACAATTTCTCATTATTTATATTATGTACATGCACTCATATATTCAGAGGCAAAAAAATCTCAGGCCTTCGCTTAACTCTCAAGTGCTCTTTCATCTGTCGTCCTTGCTGGTTGAGAGGCCATTCCAATGAGGATCCTTCAGCTCATGTTCGCCAGAATCAACGTGAAGATTTAACAGTTTTTTGATTTGTACAGGTCTGAATGTGTTTTGTGAGCGCAGTGGGAGAAAATAACTGAAAACGATGGCGTGCTTTTTCTAACTGATCAGGCGCTGAAACGAACACACATCAACAGTTTGTGTTACTTTTACATTGCTGCTCCTCGTCTACCTCGTACTGTGGCAGTTTGGGAAGCAGATGACAAACTGGTGTTGAATGTGCGTGAAGTCCAACACCAACACAGTTTCACTCCCAGTTGGTTCACTTAAAGAATCTGAAGGTTATCTTGGCTGCACTGCAATAAAAGATGATTTAAACTTATAGAGGAAAGCAAAGCCCTGACCCACGTGCCCCATTTATCACCTGTTAAAAAACAAGAGCCTGATTTCTGATAGGGCGCTCGGCACTTACGATACTTGTCGCTCGACAGATTTAACAGTCATGTATTGTTTTCAGTGTATGTTTCAGCAAAAGGTTTGAAGTCTCCATGGTGACCAGAGACCTGAGTCTATTTCTGTTGTGTTTAGTGAAGCGTTATCTACACAGATAGCTGTTTAAAATCACAAACATCCTGCTGTGTATGTTTTCAACTTGTTAAATGTATCTCCAGGTTTCCCAAACATTTATCTGTAGCAGCCAGCCACGATAAAAACATCTACAGCCACGTTTTAATCTATGATTTTTGGAGCTGGACCTTTCTTTAGGAGCACTGTTGGAATATTTGTACCGTTTATTGCTTCACTCTGTCACACACCGTGACAGTGAAACTTAACCGTTAATTGTGCCAGGTTTTAAAGTTTGCTTTCACTTGCCTCTGCAGAAGCTCCTCTAATCCATCCATCTGATCTGATCAGCTCTGATCCGATCGACTGGTCAATTATCCACCCCACAAACCGGAAAAAACTATGGGGAAAAAAGGAAGTCATGAAGAGTTCCACCTGTGCTGTGTTCACAGACCCACCCAATCCTCTGAATTCAGAGAGCGATTCTAATTCTGTGGGAAACACTGATCTACACTGATTGATCAGCTCCCTGTCAATCATCGAGCTTCTCCTCCATGATAACAGTTTGCAGACATATTTGAGGCTGACTCAGGGGCAGTTTGACGACCTGCTGTCTATCATCGGGCCGTATAGCTCTGAGTATCCAGCAGCCGCGACCACCAGTTTCTCCTCCACTGTTTACCAACTGTAAACTTGTTTTCGTGACCACCACAGAAGACCTGCTGCCTCTCAAATGATCTGATTTGACAATGAGGAAAAAAGGCAAAGAAATAGAGAAATGACGTCGGGCGTTTGTCAAATCCAGGAGTTCAGAACGCTTCTGCAAAAAACGTCAGGCGCCTATAGCGCAGAAACGCAAGGCATGTCACAACGCGACGCGGGCAAGAAGCTTCATTCTCATTAAAAACAATTACAAAAAGCTGCCTCCAGCTGCTAGAACACTTTCTGTGTGATCTGGGCTGCAGCTATCAACATGTTCTTATATGCGCAATTATCGTTATATCGACCTTTCCATGAAGGTGAATAAAGGAGTATAAGAGGGAGGCTTTTTTTGCACGGCCCATCTAACCTGCCACCGGTAGGACACTGTGAAAAAAACCCTATTTTGATGTGAAGAAGCAAAATGACAAGCGGCTCCAGCCATTTTACTTTTCCATATTTTGACGTCATGTTAGGGCGCGTTAATCGGAGTATGCACGGCTGCATGTAAACAGAAATATTAGTGGAATATTCATTTTCATTAGCCATGTAAACAGCTTAGTAGTGGTAGTTTTCAGAATATGAGCAAAAGAAATTTGTGCATGTAACTGAATTTATTGTGAGACAAACTCCTCCATGTTTCCTGTCGAAAATAAGTTATATCTGTCGAGTGACACTCATCAAACGTGGCGAGCGCGCTACCATAAATCAGGCTTAACTCGTTCCCTCTCTGAGGTGAACAGAGCATCACTTCCTGCCAACACAAGTGCCACAGTTTCGATTCAAACCAATATACAAGTGCCAGGATTGTCTTTTAATTAAATTTGACATGTTGACATTTTTCTTTTGATGTTTCTCTGGAAACTCAGATGTGAGGGATACGTGAAAGAAACAAAACAAGGGATCAGGAGCACAGTGGGACTTCCATTATCAGCTTTGTCCCATTTTATGCCAATAGTCATGAAACACTATCTACAATACTTCTCGGGTTTGATATTAAAAAAACAAAACTGGAAGTTTAAGAATAAACTAGATCTCCTCTGCCACAAGCGGCTGAACTATACAGAGAGTGGTCTGGACATCTCATTTCTACAGCTCTGTTGATAGATAATTATGATTTACAGAATGAATGGAGGCATGAGTGAGCTGAGCAGCACTCATGACCAAACTGGAGATATGGATTATACAAGAGTTACAAATAGCAAAGGTCGTGCTGACAGTTCTAGGACCCTCAGCTCTTCATTAAAAATGCATAAATATTTTCTGAAGAAGGTAAAATTATGAACTTAAAGAACTTTATTGACCCTATTGAACTTTTCCTGTGCAAACAAAAAAAAAAAAGGAAGAAAAGAAAAGCAGGCTTCCCTTGTCACCTGTGTAATCGTATGATAATACTCAAAACTGGATTCTTATTGGAGTGGTCCATCAGGTGCTGCCTGCCTCCTGGTTGTAACCTCCATCAGTTCAGGCTGCTCAGGCGGAGTAGAGGCCGGCACTCCTCTCTATGTGGGGGCAAACTTCTTGGCCTGTGCCCTTACTCGCTTCTCATAGTCCATCCTGTTCTGACTGAAACACAAAGAGATAAAGGCATTTTAAACCAAGCTACTGTTAGTTACAAATGAATTTAGAGGTCCCACGTCCAAGATAACATACCAGTGTATAAAGTACTGAAGGAACAGGAAATATTTCTTTTATTCTTTTGTGTTATGACTTGACTTTGCTCTCCAGAGGTCTGTGACATGACTTATCTTAGGAGAGGCGTACTGCCCTGACTCATGACACTGATTCATGACCTTTGATTGAAATTGTCACTTTTAAACCAGGACGCTTAAGGGGATAGTTCAGATGTTCTGAGGAGGGGTTGTATGAGGTACTTATCCATGTTACCCATACTGTATTATGTGCAGTAGGTGTCAGTTGGCATGCCCCCAGTTTGAAGCAGACAGGAACTAAGCTTTCTGACGGGGAAGCCATTAACGGCTGCAGTTCCCTATCTTTGCTTTTGTCAAATCCGCCAGACTCCATTGAGAAAAACAGTAATTTTAGCTCGCTGAACACAGCAGCTGCTGGTTTAATGCTGCTTCAGTCAGTGTCATTGTGTGACTTTGGTGAACCTGAACTAACCCTTTTAAAACACCAAAGTCACACAATGACACAAGCATAATAACTGATCGAGGCAGCAGTAGACCAGCAGCTCCTGTGTTCAGCGGTGTTAAATTACTGCTTTTCTCAATGGAGTCTGGCTTTGGGGACAGGACCATAACGGCTTCAGTTCCCCGTCGGAAATCGCAGTCTGACAGCAAGGTAAAGCAGTGAAAATATTCTCAATGTAGCTCACACTTTGAACTGATATTGATTTTTTTAGTTGGCCAAAATACGTTTTGCTGCTGCCTCCATCCACAGCAGTACATCCTTGAGCTTTCATGGTGGTACTCCTGCCTGCATCTCCAAATTTGGGCATGCCAACTGACAACTACTGTACGTAATACACTGACTATGGATAAGCACCTCATATAACCCTACTTAAAAAAAATCCAAACTATCCCTTTAACCCACAGCCTTAAGTATTGCTCTTTGTTTAGTGATAAAAATAAATACAATTTGTGGGTCTACTGGTGAGTGAAGTCGTCAAAGCAACCACACTTACCAGTAAATTGTGTAAGCCTCTGCTTGTGCTGGGTCTTGAATGTTGGGCTCATTCAGCAGCTCCTGGATACCCAACAGGATCTGGCAACACAGGCAACAAGAGAGCAGTCAGTGTGAGAGTCTACTGGTTTATTTGAAGCCCACAGTTACCCCTCCTGGATCCACACAAGACAAAAATGTTGCGTCAAGTCAATGCAGCGTACAATTAGAAGACTCTACCTGCTGCAACTGCATATTCATACGAGGTGAAGACAGAGAGATTGAAGAGGGTTCAGACCTGTTTGATGGTGATGGCAGGCCTCCAGTCTTTGTCCTCCTCCAGGATGGACAGACACACGGTGCCGGATGGGTAGACATTTGGGTGGAATATTGGTGGCTCAAACTTGCCTGAGGGGAGGTCATTGGAAAGACGGTGAGACTCTTCAGACTGACATGGGAAGATTTCCATTACATATATGTAACAAATGTCCTGCTAGAGACTCAGCTCAATAAATCTTTATTTCAGAAATGGATTAGTAACACTGCACCTTCAAACTCTTCTGTAGCATCATTTAACTTTACCAGACAGGGATTATATACATAGTGTTTAGCACACAATGTGCAATATGTTTTTGAAACTCCAAACTCTTATTTCCTAAACTTCTCCTCTTTCATTTTGAACAGACAGCTGCATGTAAATGTCAGAGTGAAACTATCTGACAGGTGTGGAGTGGTACTCACATTTGGGTGGTGAGGAGGGGTAGTCATCTTTGAACAGCATTCTGAGTTTATAGAGTCCTCCCTCCCACAAGGTCTGATGAAAGAATACAGAGAGAATAACTGCTAAATACAAAATGATATTAAACAAATGGAAAGGACTACAATAAGGCAGAGATACGAGAAGGACCTTCGAAACATGCTTTGCTTAAAACACTCGGAGACACTTGGAGGTGACCTTCGCACTATTAACTTCAGACACTGCGCCTTTTATTTCCAAAACATATTTTAGTGCAAGGCCTTTAAGATAAAATGAACTTGATGTGCTACAATTTCTTGCTGATATCTGTCATTTCAGTGTCATGTTTTTATGTTGTTCCTGACATATGACCTGGTCACCGTTACAAAGAGAGACAGTCGTTACACATGCAGAATGACCTACATTACAATAAAGGACAATCCTTAAAGAAGCTGCCAAGACAGTGACTTTGAATGCAGGCGTGCGAGTAGCGAACAGCATACAGACCGTGTCACTGCCACTCTGTTGCTACAGGAACAGCTTTGGCACTTATTTCCTTTCAGCTACGGCATAAACAAACATTGCTACAAAAAAATATAAAGGAGCCCATTTAATATGTTTATGTTGTCACGTTTGATAAAGCTGTAATGAATAATGGATTCGCCAGTTGGCCATCAATTATTAAATAAATCACTAACTCATTGGATATTAATTAATAACTGATAATTTTGTGATTGTGGACAAAACAAGATAATTGAGGACGTTGATCTTGGGCTTTGGGAAATACTAATCGACATTTTTCAACATTTTCTGACATTTTATAAACCAAAAAAACTAAATGACTAATAGAGAAAATAATCAATTGATTAATAAACAATGACAAAAATTGTTAGCTGCAGCCCTAAAGTTAGAAATAATCTATGTAAGAGATAACTCACAATGAACGGGTCATTATTGCAGTCTGTTAATCATAACAGTATACACTGGTTGCATCTATTTGCAAGTTATTGTTTGTTTGTTACTCTTGTTATATGTTTGAATGTTGTTTGCCAGTTTTTACATCTTGAACACCTACTGTAAGCTAGTTTTATGTTTCCTAGCTACTGTTAGCTAGTTCCCTGTACCCTTTCTGTGCAGAGTTTGCATGTTCTCCCTGTGTCAGCGTGGGTTTCCTCCAGGTGCTCCAGCTTCCTCCCACAGTCCAAAGACATGCAGGTTAATTGGTGACTCCAAATTGTCCGTAGGTGTGAATGTGAGTGTGAATGGTTGTCTGTCTCTATGTGTCAGCCCTGTGATAGTCTGGCGACCTGTCCAGGTTGAACCCTGCCTCTCACACAATGTTATGGTAACTAGGTGTTATATTTTGTACCTTACTAATATCTAGTTTATATTTAGTTTTGAATCTGCTTTACATTGCATTTTATATTAGCTATACATAGCTTTTCTACTTTATGTCAGTCCTTGTATGCTGCACAGCAATTTCCCTCAAGTTAAATAAAGTTAAATCTTTTTTATGTTGTCTACACACCTGTATATGCACATACACACATATACAGTGCAGTTATGATCATAGACTCTACAGGACTAATTTTTCCATCAATACAATCTTTTCTAGATCTATATGGGCAGGATAATGTACAGCCAGCAGGTCATTATTTCAGGATGATGCATGACCTGTCCTGTCAGGGTTTATTCTGCAATAATGACCCGCTTGCTGCACATTATCACCGGCATGGCTCGCAAAAGTAATGTAGTTCTTAATGTATTAATAGGATCTATGGCTGGTCATTATGGGACAGATTAGAGTAGGAGGTCCACTTTGATTTATGCCCTGCAGCTGGAGCTAACTTACTCCTTTCTTCCCTGGGATGGCACACTCCCAGTTCATCAGATTCATGGTGCCATCGGGGTTCTTGGTGGGCACAGCAACAAAACCCTGTGTTGTTTACAGGAGAAACAAAACGTCATTGAGAAGCCTGAGTGGCAGTTGACCACACTGTAATCAGTTTGCATGAGTAGCATTCACGAACGTTAGGAAATCAATCAAAGAAAGAGGGTGAAACATTGATGTTAAATGAGGGTAAACATGCTGCAGCTTACAAACGGGTGGTCTTTTCTCCAGGCTTTGCGCTCCTGGGACAGTCTGCTAAGAGCGATGCCAGACATTGCTGCTCATCAACGCCTCCCTGTGGAAACACAACCACAAACAGATTAATTATTCAATTAAAACTGTCCACAAATTAGTATTGTAACGGTACTCCTAGTCTGTTTCTTGAAAATAGCAATACGCGTTAGCTATTCGCGACGAAACGTTAACATTGATTGACGTATGTTGTTTATAAAGACAACAGAAATATCAAGGTTAATTTAGCCGCTAAAATCCCCTAAAAGGAGCTAAAAATTCTCCAACACTTGCAAACAACCTACGAGATCATTCCACCTGAACTTACCTCTGATTTTATTCGGCTAAATATCGGAAGTACGTGGGTTTGAGCACGTTAGCTTGATTGCTTCGCTAATGCTAACGTTGCTGCTGTGTTGACGGCGACCGTTAAAAAAACACACACACCCTTCGACGTTCAAAAACAAAACTATTGTGTCAGTTAGGGCGAAAATAACCAAACCGAGTGAAACCTGGATTTGATCAACATTCCCAAAACAATCTAATCCACATATATTGGTGTTATTTTTGACAATATAACACAGTTGAGTAAAACAATGTGACTCGTTACACCGTTTCGGCAGCTAGCCTATCGCAAGAAAGGACCCCAATTTGTTTATTTCGTGAGGACCTTCAGGCAGTTCACGGGACTCCTCAGAGACACACGTCACAAGATGTCCGCCATGTTTGTTGTGGCATTCATACTGGGTAATTCAGGCGTTTGGATGATTCAATAAATTTGAGTCACGCAGCCTAAACGAATCACCTTTCATTTCCCATTTTACACTATTGTAATCCTAGGTATTCTTCTTTCTTCTTTCTTCTTCCGAGGAAATCATACTTCCCATCGGTGAAAACTCACCAAACTTTGCACAAAGGTCCAGTCTCATGCCAGATATCCTCAGCTGTAAACTCAAGCCAATAGTCCTGATGGTGGCGCTACAGCAAGCGTCTAAAGTTCAAAACTTTGAACCATATGTGCTACAACTTCACAACTTTCATCAAACTGTAGCCCCAATACTGAAGAAACTTTTGTACATTTAAACCTGTTAAAAATTATGAAGTTCATCACTCTGTTTTTTTCAAAAACTGTAAAACTTCTTAAACCTATCTCCACCCACAATTTTTGCTCACTTGACACCAAACTTGCTACAGAGCATCTTCAGACTGTCCTACAAAAATTATGTTTCTCAGATTTTTGATTTATCAAAAATTGAGCCGACAGTGCATCAAAATGTTTGACTGTAAACGGTACTGTAAACATATACCTGCAAATTCTTGCTAAATAAATCTTCAATGTTCATGAAAAAAATGACAAAATTCTAGAGTCATGGTAGATGATGTGTGGCAAATTTCAGAATTTTATCTCAAAAACTGAATTTTTGACAGCATTTTGAATTTTGCTCTAATGTGAACAATTGGAAATGGCAATTTTAAACATCAGTTTTTCACTTATGGAGCAAATCAGTCATTGTTACAAACAAATTACCAACATCTCCATGCTGTCTAGATGCAATATGTATATTTTCAGATTTTTGTTTCGATAACTGAATTTTTACAGTGATTTGAAATCTGCTTTTCCATGCATGGACGGCTGCTAAACCTGCACGTCTGGCTTAGTCAATTTAAGCTACACATGAATTGTCACTGACTAATTAGCTCAGTGAGATAGAAATTGATTCTTAGTCTCAGCGGTTGTGAGTTCAAGCCTCAGCTGATGCAAAAGGCAGATTGTGTTGCTAAATTCCTAAATGTCTTCCAATTCTTCTGCTTGCTGCTCAGAATTGCCTAAAAATGCCCGGACCCGACCCATCGCTGCGCAGCAGCTATAATTATGTATTTATGTTTTAATTGATTAATAAATAATTATTTTTACATCAAGCTGTCTTGTAGGAGATGCCATTTATCATGTCTGGGTAGAACATATTACACTTGTGCACCATTATTAAAGGAATACTTCACCCACAAAATGACCTTTTGTACAACACTTATTCAGTTCATGTTGCTAGAAAACTTTGGTTTTCTCACCTGCCTCTACGAGGGAACAAAGAATCCCCAAAAAAGGCAAACATTCTTCATGAATTGACGTAGGGATGCATATAATACCGGCACGTCACTGGTATCAGATAATGGCTTTAAACGAACTGTTAGAATCGGCCAACAGGCTTTGTTTTTTAAATTTGCACAATGAATGAAAAGTATTGTTTTTTATGTCTCCATTTGCTGGTGGGCCATTAACGTAAGCATAATGCATGTATAATATGATATTAATTCCACTACAGAAAAGACTTGATGATCTCTAAAATTAGGTGGGGAAAAAAGTGGATATATTGATATCAGTATCGGTTATCGGCCATATGAGTTGTTATATATCGACATATCAGATATTGGCAAAAGATACAATATCATGTATCCCTAAACTGAAGTAAACTGGAACCATGTTTAACAACAGCAAAACTACCTCAAAACTTTCACGTGACGTAACACGTACAGTATAACCCAAGTGTTGTGTATCTGGTCGTATGCTCAGTACCTGAGTGTTTGTGAAATACTTCACGAATTCAAGGTGACACAGGGTGAATAATGAATAAGTAATTTTACGAGTGAAGTATTCTTTTCAATTTTATTTAAGTAAATAGGACTGCATACTATCTTCATAACATTTTGAAGTCAAGTTAATTGCATTGAAAGACTTGTTGTCTTTTTAGAAACAGGTTTAAAGTTACTATAATTTAAAAGCTTTTAATGAAGCTACATTAGTTTAACCTGTAGTTATGAATAGTGTAGGCTCCAAAAAATTAAATGCAATGAGGAAATAAACATTGTTATACTGCACTATGACCATGGTCAATTACTTTGCCTGCAAGTTATATTTGCAGGCTAAGATCAGTGATATGTCAACCATTCAGTACTTCTGTATTGCTAAGTTTCCTTTTGTGAATGTATGCAGAAGGATGATTTAAACTTTACGAATTTGTGTGCCGAGCTTACATTCTGCTTACTAACATTTTATACTATCTAAGTATATTTTAAACTGGATAGTGCATCAGTGGGTGAGCATCAGAAGCCAAATAGACACTGATGAAGCTGCTGTGAGTCACAGAGAGAGGTTTGATTTAACTAAAGCAACACACACCTCTGCAGATTCGATGCAGTCCGCTGTGAGAAGAATTGTTCAAAAGAGTTGTTCGTTTTCTTCTGCCCAGTGGTAGTGCTCTTTTGTTCTTCTCTTTTTTCTTTCACCCCAGAGGAACATAGCAACAGCTGACATCACAAACAATGGTTAAGATAACTCATTACTCGCTATGTTCAACAGATAAAAAATGACAATGCCAAATTGCCTGTAACAAAAGACAATGATGCATTTTGGAATAACTGCACAGCTTTCACTGCAATCTCCTAACCCCCCTAAAAATGGGACTCCTGCGAAGCTCAGCAGTTTATAACTTATTATTTTGATTACATGATCAACATTTCTGGTCCTTTATGAGTTAAATACTATACATTGTGCAGTTGCATGTAGTACTAGCATGGTGTGATAAAAGCTTAAGGACATAAACTTTTTTTTTTTTCTTCTGAAAATCGGGCATATTGCCAGACACCTCGAATCAAGCACAGGAACTGGATTGAACTGGTTTTGATTTCCTCTGCGTCAGCATCCCAATTTTTTTTTTTTTGTGCTGTATCGTGTCTCAGCAAAAGCTGCAGTCTTTTTGTGGGCCTATTATCTGCCTTTTTATTTATTTTTTTAATTTCCAGGGTTCACACCGAGATGCATTTTTGCAACTTTGCAAATATTAAAAATGAAGTGGGAAAATAATAGCAAATATTTTGACTTGGGTAAAACTCAGCTTAAGTGTGGATGAAAAGGAACATTGTTTCCTGTAATCCCATGGACTGTGAGGAAGTATGTCTTCCATGTACAATATTTTGCCCTTTTGCCTTCCACGGCCCCCTAACAAAGCTAAATATTTACTTTCCTGGTTACTGAATAAGGGAGTTTTTCCTCCATGTCATGAGCTAGACATAGTTTCAAGAAAAAAAGGACACTGCACCCATTCATAGCAGAACAAAACAAGGAGCTTAAACGTTTATTTTAACACTTGTAAAAGAATTCATCAAGTATTCACATGACCTCCTCCTATTGTGAAAGTGCACCCTCTTCAAGAACAAAACATCCTCTGTCTTCATTCCTACTTAACTGCGTCATTTATATCATACTGAGACATAACAGTAACAAACAACACCATCATGTTACTTCAGGATATTGTAAGCCTTCCTAAAACATGTAACTGTCCTATAAAGTGAAGTCAGATAATTTGCATAGGTAGATTTGCATTAAAGGCTTCTGACAGCTGCTGAAAGGTGCAACTATTCTTTAAGTTTCATAAGCAGCTCACTGTGCGCAGCCTTAAGCAGCATCTCCTCAGTATCACTACAAAGTACACTATAAGGCTAGTTTTATAGTCTTGATTCATCACTCTTGTTGGCAGCAAACACGCTGCTCTCCCTTGCAAAAGTCACATCACGTCCCTGCTTGTAGTGTTCCACTGCCGCTCCTCTTTTCATTCACATCTTCTTCCCCTCTCCCTCTGAGAGAATATGCTCTGCAGACGCTCTTTTAAACCATTCAGACCAGGAGCCGTCATAAACGCACACCCCAGGGTGCCCGAGCAGGTGAGCGGCCAGAGCAATGTGACATGCTGTGACACCGGACCCGCAGGTGGCCCAGAGCGGCTGCTTCAGGTCCACCCCGGCCTCTTTGAACAGGTTAGACAGGCCTTCAGTTCCCAGTTCCTTTCCAGAGGCGTCCATGAAAGACGTGAACGGCATGTTGATTGCACCGGGGAAATGTCCTGGCAGCGTGTCTGCGAGGGTGGAACAGAGGAGTGAGAAACATGTGAAAATGGGAATAATAATGACATAACTTAAAGGTCCAGGGTGAAGGATTTCGGGGGTATACTGGCAGACATGTTTGTTTTTGTGTGTATAATCACCTGAAAATAAGATTTTTTGTCCCTTAGAATGAGCTGTTTATATCTACATAGTGAGCTTGTCCTCATCCATGTAGTCCACTATGTTGTACCGCCATGTTTTTACAGTAGCCCAGGTAGGACAAACCAAACACTGGCCATTCACATTTTAATTTTAGTCAAAGTTAGGAGCTCTTTGAGAGTTTTCTCAGAATGTTTGTGAATACGACCCCAGGCATCTAATCGACACAGGCAAAATCCATAGCCACACCAGGCTAGTAAAAGGGACTGGGTGTTTAATTAGAACGAGGCTTTTAACTGAAGTTTAAGGGTACCCATGAAACCATCATGTGGCAGTACCAACCTTAATTTGTAACCTGTCATTGCTAATAGCAGAATTGCAATGTATTGTTGTCATGCAACAGACTGCAATTTTCATGCAACTTCCTTAACTGTGCACTTACCACACGTTCCCTCTAAGAAACCTTATTATGGAAATTTTAAGACATGCATATTGTGACCTTTTTTCCACTGAAGTCAGATTTTTAGTGTAGAAATGTTTAATTACCATCTCTGGGCTCCGGCTCAACACCCCTGAACCTCCCTGCAGACCTGGCATCCACCACCTGGACCTGCTTGGTTCTGATGTTCTCCAGTATGTCTTCATAGCTCTTCACCCACGGCTGATTCAGGGTCGCTTTAAACTCTGCAAACTCCGGTTTGGAGTATTCAGCTGTCACCGGATAACCTCCAGCCAGCCAGTTCTTCATACCTCCGTCCAGCACCGACACCAAACTGTGCCCAAACAGCCGGAACATCCACCACACCCGGGGCGCGCCGAACGACCCAAAGTCGCTGGTGTCATACACGACTACATGCGTCTCGTTGCCGATGCCCAGGTCTCCTACATACTGGGAGAAGTGGCTGGAAGTTGGCAGCATGTGGTCCAGATCTGAGCGCTTGTCACAGCAGTCGTCGATGTCAAAGAAAGAGGAGCCCGGGATGTGCTTCTGCGTAAATTCAGCCCTCGGGTCCCGCTTCGTTTTGGGAAGGTACCATGAAGAGTCGAGGATACGAAGCTTGGGACCGACCAGGTTGTTTTTGATGGCATCTGCCAGCCACTGAGCTGACACCAGAGCTCGGGTCTGTGCCGCCATGACGGGGCTGTTGGATAATAATACAAGCTGCGAGCGCTAGAGGGAAATGTTCATGACTGTGCTCTTAAAGGACGACGTGGAAGGAAGCATGAACGCCCCTCTGTGGGCTTTAGATATACACAACATACAAAGGCAAAGCAGCTGTTTGTTTGCAGCCACAACCAGAAGTTAGGGACTGTTCTTAATTTATCAGAGAAGGGGGTGGCTGACGTGTGACTTCGTATATAAAGCTACAAAATAGTTGTCCTTGAGCCTCCCCTAGTGACTAGGGGAAAATACATCACCACCATAAATAGGCCCTATGCATTTATTATTATTATTATTCACACCAAATGAAGATATTGGACCCACTGCAAATGGCATGGGAGTGACATTATCCAACACATTCTCACTGAGACCTCGTCACATATCAAAGTTTGTGTTAGAGCCACTTCTAACAAGTCCTAGTTTTCTATTATTTTTGAGTCACTCTAATGCACCACCTGACCTGGCATCTAGGGAACCTTAAATTAAGTGCAGGTGTGCTGAAGTGAGTGTGGAGTGTGGAAGACGCCATGGGGTAACAGTCTTTAACCGCCGTGTTTATGGTTAATTTTAGCTCTTATTGTTTGATGAAGTCGTTTAATACCCATTGATTTGAACTCTGTTTTTGTAAAGGCCTGTTTATTTGGGGATTTTTGTTTTCATTCTTGAACGCTATGGTAAACAAGTCAAGTTGGCGTCATTGCAACTCCCCACACATTCTGCAAATCAGTCAACTCTAAAACCAACCGAATCACGTGGCTCATCAAACAGTGAGTCCAACTAAACCAAAGACAGTGAGTTCAACATATCTCCCGTTATGGCGTCTGTGAGCGGCTATTTTTGAACTTATTTGGAAGCAGCAATAGTTTGGTCACAGACTATCCGAGTCAAGATACGCTGTGAAAGGTACCCTGGGCGGTTGGTTGTTGATGTTCTGGGACGCCGTGTCAAGTTCTGCCTGTTAAATGCATTGTCTTCTTTCAAAATACACTTCCTTTTCACAGGAAACTCACTGTTTGCAAACAGTCTCTTTCAAAATAAACGCACTGCAATGTTTTTTTCCTTCAACAACAAATGCATAGGGTTGACTTGAGGAAAAAAACAGGGTTTGGCTTTAGAATCTTACGGGACATGAACACTTTTCTCTTGGGTGAAAGTCAGTGTCTGTTGAACCCATCCACCCTTCTCTGACTTTTGCCGTCTTAACTTTCATTCTTGTCCCGCTGCGTTTCCCCCTGACGCCACCAGCCGCTGTTAAACTATAACAGTGACAGGCCATGTATCATGCCAACATTCAAGGATGGCTTTTTTTATCTGTGTCTGACACCGGGAGTCAATGCCCAAATGCTGGATTTCAACAACTTCAGAGTGAGACTGGGTTGGATTATCGCTGAAACAATATGCATGTGTTCAATGACCGTTGAAAACTAGAAAATCTGATGACAGTTTCTGTTTTTAGTTTCTGGCCATGAGGAATGTGGTGATTTTTAAAGAAAATAAACATGCCTTTTAGATGGGTTCAGATGGTATGAAACAAACAAACAAACAAACAAATGAAAAACAAAACAGAAACAAAAAACAACCATATCAAACTGCATTTACCTCACTGAAGCCAAAATAAAAAGGCCCTCCCCAGTGCTTTATAAAAATACTTGACATGCCTCCCTTGTTTTGCACCACCCCCTCCCCTCTCATAAATATCAAACCATCCCTTAAATTAAAAAAACAACAACACATTCTTACACTTGATTTCAATAAGAAGCCATTATGAGCTTTAAAAATATATTTATTTGATTAAAATATAAAATCTCATTAAAACAAACACGAAGGTGCTTTATCTAGGGTCGCTACACCATACAAACTGGACTCACAAAGTCCTCCAAGGCACATCTTATCAAAGAGCACTTCCTATAAAGCACCAGCAGGTGGTGCCAATAGCCCACAAAAGGCAAAGTGCAAGAGTAGAGCAAAGCTTGGCAAAACAAATGAGCTGGGTAAGTGCTTAAAAATATACAATTATTCTCATAAACCGGCAGCTATATTCAGATAATTGAGAGAAAGGCTCAGGTCAGAGAGAAACACACAGAAATTGGAAACTTTTAGCACCATCTTCATGAGGTCTGACAGGTTGTGTATACTTTATATTGCTGAATGTGGTCAGTAATTAAGGTCTGAAATGGGAGTCTGACAGCAACAGCAGTTATTCCTGTTAACGTGTTTCAAAAATCATGAAAATCTTGACATTCAATCCTATAAAAGTCACATTTTTGTTTAAAGGGCCAGTTCACTCCATAATAAAAAAAGAAAAATGCTCTTACCTGTAGTGCTACTAAGCAGTCTAGATTGTTTCGCTGTGTGTAGAGTAAGAGGAAGAATATATATGTTGCGGCTTCCAAAACAGACCTTTTAGCCGCTGAGAGTGTGAGGTTGGGTCTTCAGATTCGCAGCTTTGTGACGCGCTAGGAGTCTATGATGACAGATACATTGAGATCCAAAGATGCTTTTGGCGCATTTATTATGAACAAACGGCACAGAGCTGTCACAGCGTAGCGAAAATGGATGAATGGAAAAATGAAAACCAACTGATTAAACAGATAAAAAAGTAATGGATGAATGAATGGATAGCGGTCAACAAAAATTATGGCTACCCAACCCTGACTCTCTCATCTGTATCACATGTGAGTGCGCACCTTTACACACACTTCCGCACGTGACCACGCCTACTCCCACGTGAACCACCACCTCTGCAACACACACACACACACACACACTCAAGCACACCATGATCCTCATCCTCAACCTGTATGTCTCCTACAATATATTATCGATTTTGGGGTCCCTTTAAGGCTCAGACCTACACTTCTGCTCCTGCAGACATTTCTGTTCACAGAAATTTGAGGTTATTTGTACTCATTTCTGAAGTTAAAGTATTTCTGAAAAAGTTAAAGTATGATGAATCAATCATTAACAAAGTGAATTTTTAATCAGATCTGAAAATAAAACTTCGTCACGCTTTCGTCCTCTTTAAAGCTTGCTTTTGACCTCGGAGGCGACATGCTCTGGCGGAGCTTTGGTGAACCACTCATACCAGGATCCATCGTACACAGACGCCCCTGGAGCGCCGCACAGATGGGCAGCCAGCACCATGTGACAGGCGGTCACCCCGGAGCCACAGGATCCGCAGAGTGGCTTATTCAGGTCCACCTGTGACTCCTTAAAGAATTTCTTCAGCTTCTCTGTGGATAGCATCATGCCATCGTCATCGAGAAACTCCAGGAAAGGCATGCATTTGGAGCCAGGGATGTGGCCCGGTTGGACACCTGTGGGACGATGACATATTCGTTTAGGTCTTTTTCACGCACGTGTAGCACAATATACACACAAATGTATAAAAGGCCCTCAGATCAAGATTTGGTGCTGAAGTTACAACAGTTCTGGTTATTTCATGTCAGACTGCTGTGGGATATTTGTGTTTTTGTCTGTGCTCATCTTGTGGGTTTGAAGTGGGCGGGGCTTGGCTGGTGTTAGAGGCAGACCACTGTCAATCAAATCTGATCCAACCACACCCAAACAGTCCTGTTGAAGCACATTTCTGACTGTTAAACTCTCGCTTCATATACTGTCTGCACTGTCTGAAGACAGCCATGTATTAACTCAAACATAAAACAGTAAAATAAAGCAGATATGTAAAGTACAAACAGGACGCAGGAGAGAAACTAAACTCCAAACCACAGAGATTCAGTTAGAAGCTACAGACACACTGAGAGCTGAACACACAGAGACTTTTAAAAACGCCTGTCTCTCTGGTCTACCTGGTACCTTTTTCAACCTGGACCCTATTTGCCTTGTTTTTGTGTCTAAAGGCCCTGACACACCAAGCTGATGGTCTGCCATCGGTCAAAGTCGGGCCGTCGGTGAGCGCCTGTCGGCCTAGTTTTTGCTGTGTGTCCCGCACTGTCGGCCCTTTTGCGTCTGCGGCTTTTCGGCCAATTGAGCATGTTGAATTGGCGGTGGAGCTCGTCGGTGAAAGAGACCACTCTGATTGGCTGTTTAGGTTTTATTCCCTCGCCCCTGTAGCGAGTGAATCTGCCTGTAGTGAAACCGGGGCTAACCGGTGCTTCCTCCTCAGGCTCCACTTCACTCAGCTGCCCGACAGACCTGCTGCTTCTTCCCACTTTAACCAGAATAACAAACCGGAGCTAGCTGGGAGCATGACCGGAGGGAAGCACAGCCAGTTAGCCTCCGCTAGCTTCCCAGCTAGCCCCGGCTCTCCGTTTGGATCCAACCGGAGCACTGAGCCCTGGTTTGTTATTCAGGTTAAGCTGAGTGAAGCTGAGTGAAGTGGAGCCTGCGGAGGAAACACCGGGACCGTCTGGATGTAATAGCCAGTGGAGGTGCTGCGGTGCTCGACTGCACAGATAGGAAACCCCTTGGCTGACAGGATGTACCATTCTGTCACTCGGCTTTCTCTCACTCAGGCGCAGAACGTACGTGCCACTTAGCCGTCGGATGTAGTCCGTGTAGTGTGTTCAAATGCAACTGACACAGGGCAACGTGAGGCGACGTAGACGACACAACAGTTGGTTTTTGTTGTCGCTAGTTCTTTGATGTCAGTTTGGTGTGTCAGCACCTTGAGTGACTGATGGAAACAAGAGTTTTAAAAGCAAACACCGACTTTCACCCAGGAGAGCGGTGTTTGTTGTCAGATTATAAAGTCAAAGCCTGTTCTTTTTCTCCTAAACCTAACCACGTGCGTTAGTTGTTGGAGGAAAAAAACGTCAATTCAAGTTGTTGTCAGTGAAGATTCTCAGTCAAACAGGTCACGGTAATTGTAAGTGCTATATCGTAGGCAACTGGACTTGCTTGCATTTCTTGAAGACGTTTTGCCTCTCATCCAAGAAGCTTCTTCAGTTCTAAATGACTGGTACGAAGTTGCAGGCTATAAACCCTGTGTGGGTCAATTTGAGTTGTTGTACTGATGTAGTGTGTTTTATTTTGAAAGAGACTGTATGTGAAGCTTTATATGTCCTGTGAAAACAGGATGTCTGTCTGTCCTAGAAGAGGGATCCCTCCTCAGTCGCTCTTACTGAGGTTTCTACCATTTTTCTTTCCCTGTTAAAAGGGTTTTCTGGGGGGGGGTTTCCTTATCTGCTGTGAGAGTCCAAGGACAGAGGGATGTCGAATGCTGTAAAGCCCTCTGAGGCAAATTGTGATTTGTGATATTGAGCTTTATAAATAAAACTGATATTGAAACAGAAGTGTATTTTGAAAGAAGACAATGCATGTAACAGGCAGAACTTGACACGGCGTCCCAGGCAGGGACGGCGCTACACCGGGGCTAGGGGGTGCTATAGCCCCGTCAAAAATCTGTGTAGCCCCAGTTAAGCCCCTCAAGCATTTTATTTTATATTTTATAATATATATTTTTAAGTTGAAAACAATAAAAGTTCACAAGTAGCCATTCTGTTCCAATGCAATCCTCGGTTGCATGTTTGTGCTGCGCCTGTACCCCATTGATTGGTGTACCATAACCTGTGTGTGTGTGTGTGTGTGTGTGTGTGTGTGTGTGAGAGGGGAGAGGAGGGGAGGGGGGAGTCCTTTGTTTATACTCGCACGTTAGGCTAAGGCTAGCTAGCCTACAGTCCATTGTAATGGATTGTTTTGTGATCAAGAAAAAATCATAGATGGTATGAGGATTACAAATGGCTGGAATATTCATATTAATAATGCATATGGAATAAATGCACTTGCTGTCGCATTTTGGATGTATTGTCTGGTTATTGGCAGGCGATGGGCGCTGTCTGGTGCTGAATCTGTCACCTTTCCACGTTTTTGCCATTGCCTTGTGGTCACTTGTATTAGGAGTGTCCATGACCAAACCTTGATATGTGATGAGGTAAGAGTGAGAATGAGTTGGATTTGCAATGGGTCTAATTTCCACATTTGGTGTGAATGATTAAAAAAAAAAAAACAAAAAAAAAAAACTAGGTCACTAGGGGAGGCTCAAGGAAAAACATTTTGGAGCTTTAAAAAAAAAAAAAAANAAAAAAACTAGGTCACTAGGGGAGGCTCAAGGAAAAACATTTTGGAGCTTTAAAAAAAAAAAAAAAAAATTAAAAAAAAAATCAAAAAGGAAGTCACACTCCAGCCACCCCCTTCTCTGATAAGTAAAGAACAGTCCCTAATAATCTGGTTGTGGCTGCAAACAAAAAGCTGCTTTGGCGTTGTACATTTTGAATATCTAAAGCTCACAGAGGGGCGTTCCTTCCACGTCGTCCTTTAAGAGCTCAGTCATGAACATTTCCCTCTAGTGCTCGGTATGTGACGAGGTCGGAGTGAGAATGTGTTGATCTGACCCTGTCAGTGGCAAAAACAAGCACTTTCAGTGGATGGAATTTGATGGTGCACAATTGCCCCATGTGCTTACATTGCAGCCTGTTTCACCAATGCTGGCTGCAGCACTCTCTCTGGAATAATTTCCAAATAGTACTGTTCATATAAGTCACTTAGACACAGAAAGATACAATAACAGGGTCAGGGTGGAAAAATACAAAAGTTGCCCTTTAACATATTTTTTATGAGTGGTTGGGAGCACTTTCTCTTTGCTTTGGTGTACAGTATAGCTGTGTTGTGTTTACCCATAAAAAATTTGTAATGATTTACCCACAATGCAATATATTACTTGTGCTTAAGGAAGACTCTTAACTTTCAATCTATGAACTCAAAATGGTTTTTATAATAAAACTTAAGACCCACAGAAACTCTTAAAACTAATGATTTGAGGAGTTTTAAATACTGGAGTGTAAAGATAAACCCAGATTTACCCTCTCTTGGTTCAGGCTCTCTCCCCAGGAACCTTTCCCTGGGTCTCACATCCACCACCTGATACTGCAGAGTTGAAATGTTCTCTGTAACGTCCTCAAATGACTTCACCCAGGAGCGGTTCATGGTGGCGGTGAAGCGCGCCGCTGCAGGCTTGGTGTACGCGCCTGTGGCTGGGTGTCCTTCCCTGACCCAGGTCCTGAAACCCCCGTTCAACACCGACACCTGAGGGTGGCCGAACAACCGGAACATCCACCAAACCCTGGTGCAGGAAAACGCCCCAAAATCACTGGCGTCGTAAACAACCACATGGCTGTCATTTCCGATGCCCAAGTTCCCCACGTAGTCTGCGAAGAACTGCTCGGTGGGGAGCATATGATCAAACTTGGAGGTCCTGTCCGAGCACTCGTCGATGTCGAAAAAAGACGCTCCCGGGATGTGAGACTGCGCGAACTCCTTCTTGCCGTCTCGTTTCATCATCGGCAGGTACCAGGACGTGTCCAGGATCCGCAGACGCGGTCCGACAAGGTTGCGATTGACCATGTTTGCGAGCCATTTTGCAGAGACAAGAGCCTGAGTCTGCAGCCCCATGTTTGCAGCAGAGTGAAGTGCAAGTGAAGTGCAGCTCACCTCATTTAACCTCTCCTCAACTGGTTGACAACATCAGTGCAATACCTCCACCAGCTGGTCAGGAGTGTGGAGAAATAATAACATAGAGGCAGAGACAGAGTGCTGTTACTTATTTTATTGGTAGCCTACTAACAAAACACCTGGGTCCAAACAAATACAAAAAGTTCATATATATAAGATAAACCCACAGTATTATACTCATTCAGAGGTAATAAATTAACAACAGAGTCCCATCATTCAGCTGCTGGTGCTCCAGTTCTGCAAGACATGCGTGCAACATGGCTAAAATTGTATTGTGAGTGTCCAGAGTCATGTGCATGTTTCTCACCGATATCCTGTGTATGAGGGCACATGAGTATGTGTTCGTCATATGCATTATTCCGGTGGTGTACAGTTCCTTGAATCATTGTGTTTCTGTTACCTTAGAAAGAGCTGTTTGTATCTACAGATGGAACAGGCCCTTATTTATAGGGATCACCATGTTGCATCAACCCAGTCTCATTCAGAAGTCGTCGAAATCCGACGCTTGGCCAGTGACTTGCGGTGTCACACACAGACGAAAAAAGCCATCCTTTAACATCAGCATAATATGCAGCCGGTCGCTGTTATACTTTAACAGTGCTGGGCAGCGTCAGGGGGAAACACAGCGGGACAAGAACGAAAGTTTAGGCGGCGAAAGTCCAAGTGGGGCGGATGGGAGGGGTGATGGATTGGTCCAACAACTTTCACCCTTTCATATCTTGACACAGAAAGTCCATGAACAAATGTTTATATGTGACAAGGTCGGAGTGAGAATGTGCATAGATATATATACATAGATGCCGCACCCTGGCTTGTGGGATGGGTCAATACTGCCGCCATCTTGCCTAGGTGCTCTGACCGGTTCAGACTCGTGTCAGACTCGGCAAAAATGCCACATTTTTGCTCTGCATTTGGGTGTACGAACGAAAGAAGTGTTCAAACCAAGCAGAAGGGAATAACATTCCACAGGTAAGAAGTTTTACAATATTTTACTGTTACGAACATGTTTAATGAGATATATATCTCAAAAAGTGATCCTTCTTTTTAGCTAATCAAGTAAAGTAACTGTCCTGATCTGGTCCTAATGCCAAATTAAGCTAACGCTATGTCACACAACTTAAAGAAAAAAGGTTAACATTTATATAATATTACTTATAAAATTAGGAGGCTTTGTCAAACAGCTATGTCGGTGTATGTGTTATTCCAATTTGTCAACTATCTGTTTCATGGCACCAACGTGACATAACGCAGTATAACGTTAGCAGTTAACTTGTGGCCTGAATTGTAACTACAAATTATGTGGAACTGCGTTTTTCTGACACACTTATTTTGTATGTAGTTTCCCAAAAAACACAGATAGGAGACGGGCATGGGTAGCAACAGTGAGGAGAAAGGACTTTGTCCCAAGTGACTCCTCAGTCATCTGCGGCTGTCACTTCTGACCTGAGGACTTTGACAGGACTGGGCAGACTCCTAAAAATAATACTAGCTACTGTACACTGTATTTTTTGTAAATATGACCTAATAATGTAAACAGTTCTGTGTCCAGGCTCCCATGAGCACTGTGGTGTTATACATATGAGATTAAAGCAAAATGTTGTGTAAACATGCAGCTCTAAGTCATTTATTTTCACTTGTACAAAACCAACATTTGTTAATCAGAATGTGTAACTACACTGCAGCTCGTCACAACCCTGCTGATACACTATTTTTTGCACATTGTGTGAAATGTGAATAAACATTTATAGTCAAAATTAATAATTAAATGGCATCATGGTGGGCATTGTACATCTAGTAAGAAAAAAGAATATTTATTACATGGGGGAAGTTTAGTTTAAATGTGTTGTAGAACTATTACTGTTACTTTTTCTACATAAGATCAAATATTTTGGTATGAAAAGCTGCATTTTGTATTTAACCAAGTATCCTGTATCATAACTACATGTCTGACGATTGTAACAAACCAAACCGCATGAAAATCGGTTGAGAATTCAGCGAGTAATGATGATTTTAATCATAAATAATCTCCTGCCTCAATAGACATACATGCATTAGGCAGCGCGGCTCCACCTGGGCAAGATGGCGGCCGCGTTGACGTATCGCTCCAGTGAGGCGCACCGTTGAATGCGGCAACTACGTATATATATCTATGGAGAATGTGTTGGTTGCATGTCCATGTTTCTACAGTGGCCCAGAACAGACAAAACAAACCAGAAACATCAGTATTTTTGCGAAGGCCACTGTAGTTAAAAGCCCCTCCACAATGACCAGTATCCAAAAAACTTTTTTTTTTAACCTGAAACTGTGTATTCTGTGTTTTATCAAATTGAATCACTAGTCCTCTTTGTTTTGGAGATAATTCCGCTCCTGGTAAAAACCTCCTGAACGTCTGGATCTTAAAGTTATCAGAACAAAAAGGTGACCTCACCTTAGCAGGTGCTAGGCTAAAGGCCCGTCTCTGACATGCTGAACAGCGTCAGAGAAACACTGATTTCTAATGTGAAACTGCTTTACTCAATGTTTTTACCATTTTAATCACTGATTCCATTTGTTTTGCAGATGGAGAGACCTCTATGGATAATCTGGCTCCTCGTAAGGACCTCCTGAATGTCTGGATCAGAAATAAGTTGAGCACCATAAAGTTATCATGTACACACTTGAACATGTATTTTTTTAATGTTGATATTCAAGACATTGAAACAACATTCAATACATGCAGAAGCAGTGAGCGTGCACCTTCCCAGTAGAGAAGAGGAATGAAAATGGAGGAGAGGGAAGGTGGAGTGTGGTGCAGACAAACACAGGTAGGTTCTGTTGTGACAACATACACACATGAATTGTACCAGAAATGTATATTTTCATAACATTATCAACACATTGAGTTTAACTGTTATGGTTACCTTGGGAAGGCAGTGTTGGTATTCATGAAGTTACATGTTATCTTAGCTGTCCAGCATGATATAGTATATGACAAGCATGTTGCATCTCCTTTCTCAACATGTGAATCAGTATTATCACAGAGACCAAATTTTGATTTAGGTACACCAATATCCCTGTGGCATTAAAACAATTACATAGTGGCACGGTGGTGCAGTGGTTAGCACTGTCGCTTCACAGCAAGAGGGCGAGTTAAGAGTTTGAACCCAGGGTGAGAGGTCCGAATCCCTCTGTGCAGAGTTTGCATGTTCCTTCCGTGTCAGCGTGGGTTTCCTCCAGGTGCTCCAGCTTCCTCCCACAGTCCAAAGACATGCAGGTTAATTGGTGACTCTGAATTGTCCGTAGGTGTGAATGTGAGTGTGAATGGTTGTCTGTCTCTATGTGTCAGCCCTGTGATAGTCTGGTGACCTGTCCAGGATGTACCTTGCCTCTCGTCCAATGTCGGCTGAGATAGGCTCCAGCCCCCTGTGACCCCAAACAGGATAAGTGGTTACAGTAATGAATGAATTTAAAACAATTATAGCGTTAGAGCAAGTGGCACACTGAAAAAATTAAGCCAACGTGCCAAAAACTGCAGTTCCTCAAATGGCCACTGGAGGCTGACTCCTAAAACCAGTCAGTCCCTATAGGCCCCTGTGTTAAAATGCCCAAGTTTACAGCAAAAATAAATGTGTTTACAGCCTGGTACAAAAAATGTTTTTGGTGTCAATATGTACCTTCAAAATTCATAACTGTACGGGGGATGATTTTTTATAAAACTAACCCACTAAAATGTTATTAAGGCTTAAATTTAAATATAATTAAAGTTGTGACCCCCATTGACAACACTGGTTAGGTAACATAACCACCGCATAATCCCAGATTCACAGAGTGGAGTGTAGGCATAACTGTAGCTGTCACAAATTCAGCGTGTTTTCAGTTCATTAAAGTTAATTGTAACATTTCGGTTGTCTGAAACAGTCTTTGTCAGCATTTGGTTGTACTAAAAGACCCTCTAAGGAGTCGGATGTTCAATTTTGCCAGTAAGTACATTTTATTGTAATGGATTAAGCCTGGTTTTTGTGAGTGAAACTTTGAATTAGAATAATCACAGTTAATCATAGCTGTAAATGCACTGTGCTAACCAAGCCAGCAGCTAGCGTTAGGGTTATCTCCAACCTCTTGTCCATGGACACATGTGGCTCAAAAAATCCAAGACAGTGAGAGTCAAAATGCCAATCTGGCAGCTTCAAAATGAGAGGCCACAAAACAATGGATGACATTTCACACAGTCGATGCGTGGGTTCAGTTCTGTGAGTGTGCTGTCTACTCCTCTGAAAAATCTATAAAGCTGAAGAGAAACTTAAGATTGTAGTCAAGAACACAAATTTATACTCAACTATTTTAAGTTTTCTAGACACAGCATGTTAACATAGGCTCCATATGCAATGACAAAACTTTGATTGATTGTTTGATTTTATTGATGACTTCATGTCAGTACAACAAACACCAAAGAAAACAAACATAGACCAATTAATAGGGATCAATATTCAACAAACTGCTTACACATACACAGTCACTTTTATAAATACACACACTAATCATGATGTAAGTATAGCAGGATTTGCATGTTTATCAAAGGATACCAAATATTTTCTCAGACAGCTAAGACAATATGTCTGTGATTGGTACAGTATTTGAACAAAAACAGCAAGTGTACATCACCCCCTGGAATCACACAGAAAAAAGCTTATATTTGAGCAAAGATTAGAAAAAAAATCCCACATTCATCTTTTAATATTTTCTTGTAAAACTGATTTTAGTCTTTTCAGCTTTGTGGCATTTTTTTGTGATAACATCTCAGGGTTGTTCTGCTCTGAACTTCCCAATCTTAACTTCTATCAAATCACTCAACATGTCACATACTATGGCCTGAAGATCTGGAGAGCTTTAGATCAGGGCATGTATTTCATTCCTTTCATCCTAGGAATGATATGTATATCTCTGATGTCATCATGCTGAAGCAGCCAACACAAGTAGCGCTCCGTCCCCATGCCCCATCCACTGGTGAGGAGTGGTTTCACTTGCCTCATGTCGATGTACCATTTGTAGGACTGCTCTGGTACTGCATGATGCCTGAGGGCCTCCTGTACCATCTCAGGGGTGGAATGACGTTCACCGAGACCCACAGTCTCACCCAGCCCCAGGAGGAGGTCAGCAGCTTTGGCTTTGCACCGCCCAGTGCCCTCCACATACGCCTGGTAGAAGGGAACTCCTAGATGGTCCATCTCAGTCAGCCAAACAGCACCACCATATTTCTCTATCAAGACCCGCTCTCCTTTGCGTGTTAGCTTTCTGCCAAACTGCGGCTGTCCATCTTGGACCCACTCTAAGCAGTCAGCAGAGGGCATCATGGGAATGGCCTGGTCTAGAGGGATTCTTGGGAGTGGGGTTTTTCCATCCAGCTTACTCAGCATGGCTTTGACATGTGTAATGGTCCCAGCAGTGTTGAGGATAATATCAGAGTGTTTCTTCAACATGGACTTGGTGAGATGAGCCAAGTATCCCTCTGCTGTGGAGATGGCATTGTCCATGTCACCCAACAGTTCACACTCCACGTGGTAGAACTGGTTCAAGTGTGTGGCATCAGGATCTTCCCCTCTGAAGCTGGGAGATATGTAGTACGTCCCTGGCAGGTTCTCCTGGAAGCGAAGGAAGTATTCAAGTACAAATTGCATTGAGTCAGCCAGGTAGATGTCCTGGCCCAGCAGGCTAACAGAAACTGGTTCTGAGTCAGATCCCAGGCCCATTGGTGAGGAGATGGTGTCTGTGGTGAGAGGGGTCAAAGCATAGGAGAACTGGCAGGAAGTGTGGAAATATTCCACTGTGCTGTGGAAAAGAGTGTTCTGAATCTGGAACAGGTTGCGATACCACTGGCTCTTGATGGCAAGTGTGGAGTGAGACTGAGGGTCTTGCCATGAATGAGTAGGCCTGCACTGGGTGATTTTGGAGTGGATCTTTTTGAGGGCCTCAGGGTCGGCAGCTGGGCCGTGCAGTGATGACACATATCCAGGGTAGGTTTGGAAGCATTCTGGTTGAAGCTCAGCAGGCTTTGTGCCATCTGGTGAAGGCAACAGAGGGATTAGCTTGGCATGAGCATAGTCGATCTCAAAGCCCTCGAAGATCAGGGCAACACCTTGAGCTCTCATCCCCTCCTCCAGTAGTTTGGCAACTTTGCAAGTGGCAAGGATCAGTGCTTTGTAGTCAGCTTCCTCCAGTTTGAAGATGTCACTGGAGAGTGGTTTGCGTGGCACCACAACTGTTAGTCCAGGAGAGTTTGGGTATGGTGTCAGGAAGGCGACATGCTCACTGTCTTCCCACACTCTCCACTGTTGCTGCTCTCCACGTACAATACGACTGAACAGGTTATCATTGGAAGCATCTCCAAAAAAGTCAAAGCAAGAAGGTGCATTTGGTGTTGGCAGTCCATTTCTAATCTTGGCTTGAACCTGGGCCAGTGCCTCATCATCCCACCGTGGGCCGCTCTTTGAGGTGCAGTAGCCAGGATTGGAAGTTTGGAATTCCTCTTCATGTGAAAGATGGGGCTGCCACTTTGGCTCTAGGCCATGAAGTGGGAGCAGTTTGATTTGTGCTGGCTGATCAGGGGTTGGATGGAAAACCAAAGCACAGCGCTGCACTCCCAGTCGCTCACTTAGCAAGCTTGACACAGCTCTTGCTCCTTGCAGCATAGCCACAAAATCAGTTGTAGCCAACTTGAAGATGCTCCTTGCCCCGCTTAGAGCTTTTCTAGTCAGGATGGTTGACCCAGGGATCCAGGGTTTGGGATCCAGGTAGGCAACCAGCTCATCTGTTTCCCAGATCACATCAGAGAAGCTCTTCAGGGGCCTGAGGACCTCTACTCGTGAAATGCCGCCTATCATTGAGGCCACAAACATTACACCAGCATTTGTTTCAACGATGGCATCACCTTTACTGTCCACAGCAATGACCCCTGCACAGATCCCATCCAGATTTTCAGCCATCACTTCTCTACATGCCTGCTTAAGGCTGTAGCCTTTGTGGTGGTAGAGACTGGCTATTTTCTGTGCAACTGTGTGCCTCAGAAATACATCTCCATCTCCAGAGCAGGTAATAGCTACCTTATCATCAGCATATATTCCCGCCCCTACTACTGCTGTGTCCCCAACTCGCCCTTTCAGCTTTCCTACTAGCCCACCTGTGGAGGATGCAGCAGCCAACCCACTCCAACAATCCAAGGCCACAGCTCCGACTGTCTGGGGGTGATTGTTTGTTGAGGTATTTCCAACAGTGAGCTTTGCTGCTAACTGTCTGTGACGTATATCAGTGTGGAAATACTCAGGCCCAACAGACTTCTCCTTCTCCTCCAACCCTCGCAGAAACTCCTCAGCCCCGTCTCCTACAATGAGTGAATGTGAGCTGTTCTCCATGACACATCTGGCTGCTTTTATTGGGTTCTTCACACTTTGCACACAAGCAACAGATCCCGACCTCATTGCATTGCCATCCACGATGGTTGCTTCCAATTCATTTTTGCCATCTCTGTTGAATACTGAGCCTTTACCTGCATTAAACAGGAAGCAGTCCTCCAGAGCTTCTACTGACCTCTGAACTGCATCTAGACTCTTGCCACCTTGTTGAAGCACTTGAGATCCAAGAGTTAAGGCTGTCTGTAGAGCAAACTCAATAACTCCAATCACTTCAGTGTTCAGCATCACCTCCTCTCCAGCGCCACCGTGGATCACCAGAGTGTGGTCTGTGCTCATTCCAGAGGGGTGGTCAACAGTAGTTTTGCCATTGTCTGGGCTCTCTTGACATTGGTTTGTTTCTCCATTCATTTTCTCTGTTTGGCCTTGATTCAGTAGACACTCCAGGGCTCCCATCTGGCATGCAATGGCGTATCTTAGAGCTAGAAGCATCACTAACTTCAGGTTTATCATCAGGCTTTCTTTAAGCTTCTCCAGTACCAGAGCAAAGCTCCCTTTCCCATTAAGCACAATGCGAACCTTGTCTGTCCTCCCAAGGTAGGTTACAGCCAACTGATCCTGGGCATAAACATTACCTACTCCACACTCCACATTCTCCAACAGATCTGTACCTGTGAGGTACACAGATGGACATCCAAAGGGGTCCAAGTACTTCTTCAGTGGATTGTCAGATGGCAATGAGTGACGCAGGACGGCTACATGGGGACCAACTCCTTGACCACTTTTGGTGTTTTTGATGAGGCTCTTATGCTCCAGAAAGGCAACATGGAACAGACGTAGGAGGTCAGTGGTGTATTGGATTGTGTTATCTGGGGCAACACAGGATGCCAAGGCACCTACTAAGTTGATAGAATGCATGGTGAGTGAGTATGTAGGATCACAACGGCCATGTTTGTAGTGGCGCACATGGGTAGGTGTGACAAGAAGGTGCCTGGTTGCAGATTCCCCAAGAGTCTGCCTCAGGGAAAGCTGCAAAGAGAAGTTGATCCAAGCATCATACAGACCTCTCTGCCCTCTGAGGGTAGAGAAGACATCAGGAAAGGAGGGCACATCAAGAGTGAGAACTGAATAAGCTGCTTGCAAGAAAGTGCCTAACTTTGGGGTGTTTACTCCTTGCAAGGGGAATGTTAGGGATTCTGGACAAACAGAATCAACATTATTTACTGTGACAGACCCGTTCATTTTGTCCGTATCAGTATGGACTAGTTTTAAGTCAGCAGTCTCAGACAGCCTGTACACATGCTCAGTGACATGCCCAGCAACCATCCCATCAACAGCACTGTGCTCAAAGACCATCCCAGCTGTGCTGTCCTTGAAGACCACCAGGTTCACCACCTGTTAAAAACAGAAAAAGTAAACATTTGTTGGCCATCAATGGAATTCCTGTCTGTCTTAAAAAACATTTGCTTTGTATTCACTTGATGTTTTTACACATTTGGATGTTAGCAAAAGGACTCCCGCACACTGTCCAACTTGCAATAAATCATTTATTTGCGACGTTTCGGTACTAGACCTTCATCAGGCAAACAGTCACATTTGGATGTTAAAATATGTTTCTTGCTCAGAGATTTGCACCCAAGGTCAAAATAGAAAACAAAGCATACATACAATGTTTCACCAGATTGTATACAATACCTTGTCATAGTATCTCAGACATGGACCGTCTCCTCCTCCTCCCAGCCTCACTGCATTGAGGACATCAGCCAGTTCAGATGGTGCGTTGCAGTCTTCCAGACAGAGTGTCAGCACGGCACTCTCCATCAGCTTCAGTGATGCTGTTGCATCTCCTCCCTGCTCCAGGATCTCTTCTCTGGTGGCAGCCCAGGCTCTGCGCTCCAGAGCTGAGAGGCTGCAAATGACAGAGGGATCATTCTGTTTTCCTGCACTGGGTTGATCCATCACCTGAGCCAGCTGGTTGTAGATGTCAATGAATGGTCGAGCAGAAAGCGGCCCACCAGTGCTTGGACGCCACAGTATGTCAACGGGGAACACTCCTCCAACACAGGTGATGATGGCATGGAGGCTGTCTGGGTAGACCTGGAGAAAACAAAGCTACAGATTAGAAAAAGAGCTGATCTAACATATTGATAATTGAAAACCTCTAATTTTTCATTTTGCTTTGATGAATCTCATCAGTTGTGCCCTACCAGTAATCTCACCTTAATCTCATCTTGACTCCTTCCAGGAATCCGGCTGGCAGCGAATACCTCAGACTGCTGCGTGCGCTCCATTGGCACATTGCCCTCCAGTAACAAGGGCTCACTGTACAGCTTTGCTGCTGCCCAGAGCAGAGAGGCTGCTCTCCCCAGCTGGGTACATCCCTTTGCTTTAGATGAGGACAGAACAACAGGGAGGGCAGTGGAGGTGGGCAGTGGGTCAGCACATGACAGCAGACCTTTCTTGAACTGCTCCGTCACCCAGTTCTCTTGGCCTGAAGCTCTCGTTGCAAACTTTCTCTGGGCGTCTTGAAGGAGCTCCTTCTGCTGATCCAGCGTACTTTTGAACTCTGGGTAAAGGTCAGGAGTTAAAGTGAGCTGCAGGACACGGCTCACTTCTTGCAAGGTAACATCCAGCTCTGGAACAGGGTAGTCGAGAAGGGCCATCCTGTTGGTATGGAGGAGGCTTTATACAGAAGGAGAAAAAGAGAGAAAGAATGAATGGAGATACCAGGTACTGGATCTTTGATGGGTTAGACTTTGCACTTTAGCTGCGACAGAATTAGAAGCATACAAAAGCACAGATGAAGAAATCCATACACCTTCATGTAAAATATAGCATATACAGTACAACAACTGTTAAACTCATAACTCATAATCATCAGATGATGCTAGCATGGCACTAGGAATGGCAGGTCGGTTCACAATTGTAGGAATATGAGTCCTAATGATTTTGGTGACCCCTTGACCTTTCCTCTTACACCACCACAAGCAGTGACGGACTGGCCATCTGGCATTTGGGCAAATGCCAGAACGGCTGCATGGCCCTGTGGCCACCGGAGGCTTGAGTGAGAGAAAGAGAGAAAGATAGGGAGAGGTTTGTACTTCTATAGACTGAAATTAAAGATGTTTGCAGTAGATTTAAAGTAAATAAACTGTCCGATGGCACTGTAAAAATGGAAACCCCAGTCACGCAGGCCCTGTCTGGTTGCAATTGGCTGAGCAGTCTTTGCTGGCAGTCTAGTGTGACCTTACATTATCGTGCACTTAATTTCTTCTTTTGTGCTTAACTGAAGTAATTTTGGTGTTACTAGTAAAAGAGATTATTCTGCAGACAGATGTAACTAGAAAAGTGCACTCAGTAGAGTTCAGATGTCCACCAGGCGCCAGCCGTGCTTGACATGGCCACTTAAGACTAATCTTGTACTTCCAGCAGGCAGGGTGCAATGTGTTTCAGAGATATCCCATGCACCTCATGTTTTTGACAAAGCTACCACACATTGTACATTGCAGATTGACTGTGCAGGCACTGTGGGTAAAATATATAGATATAATGGAGGACTGATTGCTCCTAAATGCACCACTGAGCGCCACAGGAAGTCATTCTTACCTGTGGCCATTAAACTGTACAACTCCTCCCTCTGATGATCGGACTCATTTGGCTATTTATAAAACAAAACAAACAATATAACTACTCATTCTCATTTCATTTATAAAGCTACAACCATTTCATTGTATATTGTATATATTTCAGATTGTCTACTTTAATATTTTATCTTATTTTATTTTATTTTAATGTCTACTTTAATATTTTATTTTATTTTATTTTAATGTCTACTTTAATATTTTATTTTATTTATTTTAATGTCTACTTAATATTTTATTTTATGTATTTCATTGTCTATTTTAGTATTTTGTTTATATCGTCATCTTTGTCTCTTGTTTCCATTCATGCTGTATTTCTATTTCTACTTTGCACGGAGCATTGGAACAAAAACAATTCCCCCCCGGGGATTAATAAAGTATTCTGAATCTGAATCTGAATCTGAATGAAAGTATTTGTAATGACGTAAATACAACCAAAAACCTTTGATCCATGTCATTCATAACTGGACTTTTAATAGTATTAACTTTGTCTGTAGGCTACAGCACAACAAAGAAGGAAATAACATCAATAAAGACAATATAAACAAACAAGAAAAGAAACCACTTAATTACATAACCTGCTGACTTAATGACCAGAGCTACAAATCTACAAAATTGGGCAGGCAAAATACTCTGCTTCTGTAATGCTACCAGTATAATGCTGTGCAGAGGATGGTGCAAAGCTGCTCTCGGTGAAACTGTCCTTCCCTTATATTTAAGATGACAGAAACAGATGATTTATTCATGTCATATCGTCCCTGACTTTAGTGAAACATAACATATCGGTTATGGAACTAATCTGCAGATGCTCCGGTTCAAAATGAGACCAAACTTTTCTATGGATGTCAGTTTTTTAACCAGAGGTGCTTTCTGGAAAACTTGCTTCCCCTATTGGCTAAGGCCCAAATCATACAAAAAAGATGACAAAAAAAGAGATGACATGGAGCGTTTTTCTGCCCTGGGTTGAAATTGAGGTCAACTGAGACAACTTGAGGAGTTCAGATGCCTCGGGCACAGAAACCACAAGCAAAAAGCTTCATTCTCATTAAAAATAATTACAAAAAGCCGCCTACAGCTGCTAAAACACTTTTTGTGTGATCAGGGCCTAAGAGTGATGGTTTAAAACAGCCGTACAAACAGGTTTTTCAGCAATTATGAATTACTGCAACCACTAGAGGTCCTCCAGCACACAGTCATAAATGTGCACACAAAATATGAGGCTGATTGGTCCAGTAGTATTTCAGATAAGCTGCAGACAGATGCACACACTCACACATATATGCACACATTTAAATATATGATGCCCCTAAGGCTTATGCCTTGCAAAGATAATTAGATAAATACAAATAAAAATATGGAACCAATATACACAGGAAGATGTCAACACAGAAGATAATAGATGCAGACATAATTTCCCCAAACAGTGTGCTACATAATGTATATTTATTAAGGACAAGTTGTCTTGGTGGTGCTCTATCAACCTTTGGGGTGTTACCCCACTATCACATAAAAACACATCTCATCATTGTCTCCTTCTCTTTTTACATTCTCCACATGATGTCCTTGACTGACTGTTTTCTATTCCTCTCCGGTGTCTCTTTCTCACAAAAGCTGAGCCAGTAAGTCACTTATCTGTTGGTTATGACAGTGCAGAAGAGTCACGCACGTCTCTTTGTGTATTAATTAAGTGACCATAAATGGGATGCATCCGGATTTTTCTTCTGTGTCAGACATCTCTCCGGACTGCACTGACTGTAATGATTATTAAGTTATATTTTATATTTCTCCTGCTTTCTGTAGTACTGCTTTCTCTGCTACTATAGATCTTACAAAGGACAAAAGAGAGTGCCCAGATGAGCTGATATTAGGTTGTAAATGAATCTCAAGTGTTAAGTGTTAGTATTAAGTACCTAATCTGAACGCTGGCTGATATAATTAAGTTATTGGTATTTTTTTACTCTTTAAATTAGAGAGATATTTCCAAATTTCTCATTTATTTTTCTTTTACACAAAATTTTCTATCAGCATTAACAAAGATGAAATACTACTGACATACACGAATGTTATTTAAAATCTATGACATTATCTCGTCTCTGTGGTTTATTGTAGACAGAGGGGACGCATCTCCACCTTAATTTGGAAAGTACTCCAAGACCAATCCAGTTAGAGGAAGGGAGGAAAAGTCATCAGAGAGGACAATAATTTTATCTCTTACTAGAAAACTATTCACATGATGCAAAGGCAGTGACTCCAATTTCCTTTTGTACTGGGAGACGTCATTCTTTAAACTTAATGTCTGTCTCGTTCTTGCCTCACACTGTGAGTGTACATGGACTGAATTTCAATTCCAGTAACTTTCCTCCTTTTTTTCCCAGTTAGCTGGACATGCAGACACAAACAAATCAACAAATGAACAAATAAAGCAATATATAAATATGAAAAGTAAAAGCATGAAATTCAGAAAAGAATGAATATAAATGATTGTTGATTACAGATGTATATTTATAACTGAAGTGTTTTTATTTTATCTGTAATTACACAGCTTTTTTCAGCACGACATGCATGTCACATGACCTGTCAAATAGGCTCAGAACAAGACACAGTATTGGTTTTCTTATTTTATGAAGTATAGTATTTGTCCCCACATTGTTATTGGTGGCAATCCTGACAGTTTATAGACAAGAGCACCCTGATCAGCTCAGTCTCTGCCCACCTCTAGTCTTCTATTAAAATATCTCAAGGCAATTGAATCTGATGCAACTGGACTTAGTTTTGTCTTAGAAGACGTTTCACCTCTTATCCAAGAGGCTTCATCAGTTCATGCTTGTCTGACTAGGCTGGAGCTAGTCTGACAAACTGGTGTGGAAAAACCCAGGTATTTAACCTCTGAGGAGGTCTTCACAAGGCCAATGATGTCATTGGTTCGTTAGTGTTCCAATGGTGTGTCAAACTCTTGCTGCAACGGTGGTCGTTGGGTCTATGGTAGGAAGGGGTTTTTGTTAACATATGTGACCATAGTGGCCATTTTATTTTTATTTAGAAATTAAGACTTGGAATTTAGAAATTATACCTAACAGTGACAATATTTGGGATATAACATCAGATTCTCTAGTGCCTTCAGGACCATATTCTAAACAACATGATGATTTTTTTTCAGTAAAATATCATAAACTGTCAAGTAGCCAAAATCCTGTTTGATGGGCCATAGGTAAATATTACAGGTGCAAAATGCATATGTTACTGTATCTCACATTTTTACAAAAATTTTTAAAAAAGCATTTTAATAAACACACACATATCACCAACTCAGGTATAGTGTTCAACCCCTCATTTCACCACGTCTTGTGTCTTTTTTCTTCCTTGCATATCAGTGCATTACTCTTATGTCGCCCTCAGCCTCACAGGAGCTTCTACAACTGGGACAAAGCTCTCACTGTTGGGCTGATGATGATATCCTAATCAGATATATTATCATGCTTTTGGTCGTGTGTGTGTGTCTCTGTCTGTCCGCAGCTAATCTTGAATACCACTGGACCAATCAGCCTAATATTTTGTGTGCACATGTATGACTGCAAGGACATCTCAGGGTTGCGGTGATTCATTATTCAAAAACAACAACAAAAAAACTGTTTTATTGACTTTTTTGTACCATCATTAACTGCTGACTCCTCACTCCTCTTAACCAGCTGGTAGGGGCAGCAAGTTTTCCAAAAATAGTCTCAGCTAAGAACATTCTGACCTTCATCGTGGCTCAAAAACTGACGTCCATGTAATAGTTGGGTCTCATTTTGCACAGGAACATCTGCAGATTAATTTCATACCTGATATGTTGTGATGCACTAAAGTTAGGCACGATATGACATCGATAAGTCAGGGTTTTGCTGTCTTCTCTAATAATCTTTGCAATAACGAAAACATTCACTAAATGAAGCTTAAGCTGAAACTATTTTAAAATATTGCATTTGCCACTTAGAATGAAATAAAATTTCTTGATATTAATTAATTAATTTTTTTAATTAATTTTCACAAAAAGACA